GCCCCATAGTGAGGGCTGCCAGCCCAGTTCCCTGGTTGACCAAGTTAGGGGGCGGTGGTTCCAGGTGCTTCCTCAGGGGCAGCAATGCCTTCTGGGTTTAGATGGATGGGGCTCTGGGTGACACCCCCACTCACCAGGCTCCCCTCTCCTCTCTGTCAGCGTCGGGGCCTTCGTGAAGACCTGGCTACCCTTCGTCCTCCTCCTGGGCATCATCTTAACCACCAGTCTGGTCTTTAACCTGCGGTGATGGCTGCCTCATGGCCCTGGACCCGCCACTGCTTTTGGTTCCTGATCCCTTCTCACCCCAAAAGGCAGGGATAGGCCTGCTGCTGGTTTGGACCCAGGAGTCTGGGCTTGCTGGGTTGGAACAGGACTGAGGATGAGCTGTGGGTGGGGTTGTGTGTTTGCATGTTGTGTCTCACTGGTCACTCGGAAGTTCCCTGTCCCCTCCTTCCCAGGCTTGTGACCCCCATGCTCAAGGACCTTCTTTGTTCGTCTGTCGGAAAGGCCCTACCTGGCTCTGTAGAGCTGCTCCTGCACTGCCTGCCTCGGCTCAGCGCCTGCCAGGGGAGGGGAGGACATGTGGACCCATCCGACGGGCTAGACCTGCATTTGGAGCCTGTCCTCCTGTCAGGGCTGTGGTCCTGGAGTGGGTGGGGTATGCTAGGAGTCTCCACAAGCTGAGCTGCCCTAGAGCCCTCACCACTGGCCTTTAGAACTGTCCAGTAGGCTGGACGAGCCCCCTTTGGCCAGAAGCTGCACTAGGGTTAGCCTGTGCCCCACCCCCAGGGTCCTCCAGACCACACAGCCCCGTCTCCCACGCTCCCAGGACACTCGTGTACTTGGGCCCGTCTCCCCCTGCAGTTTGGGGCCTGGCCTCCCCCAGCCAGGCTGGAGAAATGAGTGACAGTGACGTGTCCAGAGTGACATCCTGCAGATCAGCGCAGTAGAAACAAAGCCTGGCTCAGCCCCAGGTGTGGGCCTCACACTGGTGATGGCGCCCCTTGGGTCCAAGATGTGGGGGCCATCAGAGCAGCCAGTGCCATCGGGGGCTGAAGGGGAGCTCTTTCCTCCCACCTGCCTTGGCTCCCTCTTCTCTTTGTGTTGTGGGAAGGGTTTTGTCCCCTCACCCCTGCCCCACGGACTCCTATGTGTAGGGCTCCCTGGACAGTACAATAAAGAGTTTTAACTCCAGACAGTGTCCTTGCTTTGTCTCTTCAATGGTCTCTTTACCTCTTTAACTCATATCTCCCTAGTGCCCTTGGGTACCTCTGCCCTTGCCATGGGGTCTGGTCAAGTCCCCGTCCAGCGCCTGGCTTACAGGGAGGGAGCATCCCTCGGGTGTATCCTGCCCTGGGCCCAGGCTCTGGAAGTTGCCACCACTCCACACCCACCATCCCAAAGCTTTCTCTTCAAGGCAAATGAATATTGAACCTCCTCCCGTGGTCCTTGTTGGGAAGAACTTGACAGGAGGATGGGGAGTCGGGGCTGAGCAGACCACAGCCCCAGGGTTCAGAGCCAGGGGTTGCCGAGAGCCTGAGCCCCGCTCCTGCCCCCTGCCATGTGTGTCGTTCACAGTGCCAGGTTCCTTGCCCCGCCCCCCGTGACCCCACCCCTCTCCTGACCCACTGTGCTTGCACTTCTCTGGGCCTCAGGGCCCGCAGGCCCCTCCCCACACTGCGCTCCAGCTGCTCTCACTTCTGGTCCTGTGCCTCCCACCTGCTAAAGTCACGGCCTTTCTTCCCAAAGCCCAGCTTACAAGGCACTTCATTGGTGGAGTCTTTCCCAATTTTGCCCTATCCATGTGTCACTTAGTTGAACCAGTAAAGGGTTTGGTCTCTGAATCTTGAGGGTCCACTGTGTTCATCCTGAGGCTGGCCTTGAGGACATCTCTGGCTGCTGGCCCTCCAAGCCCTGGGTCAGCTCGTCCCAGACCCCGCAGTGCTGGGGTGTCCAAGCCTGAAGTTTCTCCGGGGCAAGTTTCCCCTCCACACTTCACAAAAATTTCTTCAAATTTTTTTCTTGCATATTGGTGTCCATCTGAGATTTGGTTGGTAGGGGGCAGGTGTGAGTTCCAGTACAAAGGACAACCACAGCAAAGTAGAAAAAGAGGGTTTTTTATTGTTTGGGATTTTTAAAAAGATGTATTTTAAATCCTTGGCCAAAGATACATTTATTGATTTTAGAGAGAGGAAGGGAGACAGAAACATTGAAAGAAACATTGATCAGTTGCCCCTGTATGTGCCCCAACTGGGGATGGAACCTGCAACCGAGGTATGTGCCCTGACGGGATCGATCCTGTGATGTTTCGGTGAATGGGACGGCACTCCAGCCAACCCAGCCACGCTGGCCAGAGCTAGAAAACAGTTTTAAGGCCTGCCTCTACCTAGCAGGATTTTCAGTTAGCCTTGCAGAGGCAGGGCATAAACAGGTCCCGTGAAAATCACCCGACAGTTAATTGAGTGCTTACTATGTGCCCGGCCTCGTCATAAGGTATTAGATCATTTAGCCTCACCACAGCCCCGTGGGGTACATGTGTCATTCCCATTTTACAATGAAATAAGTGCAGAGAAGCAACTGACTTGCTTGAGGTCACGGAGGTGGGAAAAGCAGAACCAGGTCTCAGAGGCAGAAACAGCTCGCTCTGGAGCCCCAGCTCAGGACCATCTGCAAGAAGGCTTCACTGGAGCACAAGGAAGGAGGGTGGGAGGGGTGGTTATCCAAAGGACCGGGGCTCTGTGACCGAGAGAGACAGGCGCCTGAGACCAGAGAAAGGGAACACTCCTTCCCGATGACAGTCCTATGAGATGCTGCTGTTGCTGACCCTGTTCTAAGGCAGAGAGTGAGGCTCCCAGAGACCATCACTGATCCAAGGCTGTGCAGGACCATGTGGCCCTCCAGGAAATTTTAACCCAGATCTGGGGCTTCTTGGCCATTGAAAGCTGCCTAGAGACTAGTCGTAGTGCAGCGACATTGAGCCCCCACCCCACCCCAGAGGGCGGTGGCCGGTGGGGAAGCATCCTGCAGTGGAGGATTAGGGAGCACAGATGGCCAGGGTTGCTGAAGCAACGGGGAGCAGAGTCTGTAGTTAGGCTCTAAGGACAGTTGGAGACAGGTGGGGTCCTGAGTTGGCCGAGGGGTTGGGCAGCCCAAAAGGAGGGTGGACTGTGGGGAGACAGTGAGACTTCTGTCAGTGGAAGTGTCTCCGGGAGGCTGGGCTGATTTGGAGCAGATTTGTTGAAGGGTCACAGGGTACCGTGGTTGTCAGCTGGCACCTTCCAAAGCTGAGGTATGACAAAGCGGGGCGTTGACAGGGCCCTCTAATAGCTGTGCAATTAAGGCCAGAGGGGCTGGGTGTGGAGGCCAGGAGACAGGGAGGAGGCTTCCAGAAGAGACTAGGCAGGGACTGGGACCTGGGCTGTGGGAGGGAGAGGAGATGGGGGACGGATAGAGAAGCCCCAGGCTGGAGGGAAGGGAGGGAGGTCTGGTGACTGGCAGGAAGCTGCAGGGGACACTGGGGGCCAGGACGTGGGGCTGGTCCGACGTGGACATAAGAGGTTTCATCTGGGAGGGGGCAGAGTGACAGGAGAGTTGGACAGAAGGACCAGCGTCAGGGAGAGTCAGAGCTATAGACAGGAGATCAGAGAGAGAGGAAGGAAATTCGGAAGCTGTAAGAGTAAAGAACGAAGTCGAAATTTGATGTGTTCCAGCAGTGAGGGCTGCTGAGAGGTGGGAGGTGGGGGCTAGGGAAGCGCCCTTGGCTGGAGCCAGGATCAGGACGGGAGGGGCGAGGATGTTGTTGGCCGCCTTTCTTCCATTTTGGGAGACTGGATGGAGGAAACAGGCGTCACAGTAACCCCGCCCACGGCTCAAAGGTTTGCTTTTACAAATACGTGTGTATATTTATGAAGGACCGGCAGGAATCTCACTGACTTGCAGTGAAAACCATCTGAGAAGGGATTATTACCGCCATTTAACAGATGAGTAAAAAGAGACTCACAAAATAAGATTGACCCTGCAAAAAAATAAATGGGGAAGGCTGGACCTTGCTCTGGGGTAGAGGAGGGACCCTCAGGTGCTCAGAGTGGTGATAACATTACTAAGCCAGTTCTGATGAAGGGAGGAGTGGGGTGTCATTTACAGTCATCTCCTTGCCCCACCTCCCCTCTTGAGAGTCTGGGAGGTACCCTCTGATCTTTAACTCATACCAGGAAGAGAGCCGCAGCAGGGCAGGCAGAGTGGAACGGAGCGGACTAGTCTCAAAGCTTTGACGTAGTCTAGGGCCCAAAGCCATTCTCAGAGTGGGCAGAATCTGGAAGCAGAATAGGGCGCTCAGAGGGGCTTCCCAGAGACAGAGGGTGTGGCAGCTTCACTTTGGCCCTGGAGGTGCCCAGGCCTCAAACAGACAGGGCCCAGCAGGGCCGAGACAGCAGCTGTGCTGTGGCCAGCACTTCCCAGGAGGCATATGAGGACATGGAGGGGCAGTGGTTGTCAGAAGGGACTCTGTTGGAGAGGGGACACCTGGTACCACTATATACCACCTTGTGCCAGGCACTTTTATTTCCCTTCTAATAGGCTCTCCACACTCCGAGGCCCACAGGTAGCACTGGAGGGAACTGCAGCTCAGAATGGTTAAGAGACCTGCCCGGAGTCACACAGCAGCAGAGCAGAAACTCTGCTTAGGGCGGTTCTTCTATTAGCCAGGTTCTTAGAAAGTTTCTAACTTTGTTTTCAAAGCAAGTTCCTCTCAGCTCCTCAGTGAGCAGGGCAGGACTGCCACCCATGCAGCAGTTGGGGCAGCCAAGGCCCTGAGGGGTGACAGGCATCGCACAGTAAGTCTGCAGTGGAGCTGGGGCCCGGGGCCAGGCATCTCCCGCCCCGCAAACCGGCTCTGGGTTTTCTGAAAGCAGAGGCTAGGGCCCACCCCTGGGGAACGAAAATCCAGGCCCGGTTTTGCATCAGGCCCTCCTGAGAAGGTGTTTCCTCCTCGTACTGGGGCAGCTACTCGCGGTTGAGTCAGCCTTAGTACCTCACTTGCTCTTCTCCCGGTCCCTGAAACTCGGCTGCCAAGAGAGCTGGGGCCACCCTACGAAGGTGTCCCCTCCATACTGGACCCCTACAGGTAACATGCCTCAGGACAGGGGTCTCCTGCCAGTGTCCCGAGGGGCAGGTGCAGCCACCTGGTATCCTGAGCACACCCTCTGGGACCTTGGGGTCGGGGAGGCGGGAGTGTGTCGGGGACCGGGGACCGGAACAGCCAGACAGTTGGACGGACCCTTGTGCTGACCAACAGGTGTGTACCGTAGTGTTGAAACAACAGGGAAGACCAGATACTTGTTTCTGCCTCCGGAAGGAGAGAGGACTGCAGGAAGGCCTGTGCTGCCGGGACTCCGGGCTCAGGTGCCCACAGCCTAGCTCCAGGCAGACCTGCAGGACAAGAGTGGGGTCAGTTTTACAGACTGCCCCCGCACCTACACACACACACACACCCCTGGGGACCCTTGGGGTGCCAGAGTACACGACAACACACAACTCGGTGACGCATACAGCACAGCAGGAAATACACCCCACAACACTGTCACCCAGAAAGTCACTGAACACATCACACAGACAACAGCCACCCTTTCAGCATCACACACCACGGCCGGACACACACACTTGCAGCGATACGCTATCTGTGCCGGCAAAGCGTACAGGCTCGTGGGTCCTCGGCCTGCAGACACGCCTGCTGGACCCGCTCTCCAAACAACACAGCTCACCAGAGACACCACTGTGGGCTCACGCAGCAGCTGCAGAAGAGCCCCGAACTGCCATACCTGGGTCCTCCGGGCACAGGAGGGGTGCAGGAACTGGGGCTAATGCGGAGCATGCAGGCATTCACACTGGCTGTGCAGTGCCTGGTGGGCGAGGGTGAGGCCGCAGGGAGGGGGTTTTGCTTGGGTTTTGACACTGACTCAGTGGGGAGGACACAGAACGCAGGCAGTGGGCACAAGCCAGGACCTGCCTTCACCCCGGTGTCCTTGCACACCAGGCAGGACAGGGAGGAGAGACCGCCCAATGGGCTCAGGCCATGGCTCTGCTCTGCTCGCGGCCCTGTCACGGGCCCCTTGCCACGTCCACACACCCACACGCCCCTCAGGGCCCGGCACATGTTTTGCTTCCGGGGTCACCATGGTACCTGAGCGGCTGGAGCTGCTTTGTCAGCACTTGGCCTCCACCACGGAGACCCCAGCCAGGTCCCGGGTCAGCATGGGTGGGGGACTAATGTGGCCAGAGCAAGGGGCCCAGGGCGTCTGAGCAAGAGGGCAGGGCTGGCAGCCAGGGAATCCCCAGGCTGGAGGCCTGTGGGGGTGGGGGTGACGGTTACCTCAGGGGTGGGAGGAAGTTAGGGGTGTAGGCTGGGGAGGAGGTTGCCTCAGACAGGAAGGCCAAATGGGCCAGGGCAGGGTGGAGGTGAAGGATGGAGGGAGGGGCGGTTCCAGGGTGGGAGGGTGAGCAGATATGTGTGTGTGCCTGTGTGTCTGGGTGCGTGTTTGTGTGTGTTCATTCCTCAGGTGTGTGCAGACGTATTTCTGCCTTTAATTAATCAAGCTCCCACCAACCATCTGTTGTGTGCAGAGTACTGGCTTTGGGGGTGAGAGCCTCTCTCTACCTTCAAGGAGCTCACAGTCCCCTTGGGTAGGGGTAGCAATTTGTGTGTGCAAAGGTCTGTGTGATTTGTGTATATGTAGGGACAAATCTTTGTCCCAGGGCTTATTCTTGTACAGATGAGCCCGCCCTGTGGGTCTTGCCTGTCTTCATGTGCGTGGGCCTTGTGCAGGTTTGGGAACGTTAGGTCCGTCTCTTGGTTGGGGCCTGGGCCTGGGCCTATGACTCTGTAGGGCCCTTCACTGGGGAGCAGGGGTGCATGGGCCTGTCCTTATACAGGTACCAGTGTACGTGTGTGACTAGGTGTATGTCTGCAGGTAGTTGTGTTTACATGTATCATTGTGTGTGCACAAGTCTCTGTTTATGCCTGTAAGTGTGTCCCTGAGTGTGTTTACAGGCCAGTGCATGTATGCGTCTATGGGTGCATCTCATGCCCCCTTGACCTCAGCCTTCCTGGGACTGTACTCTGCCCACCCCTGCCATATTTGGGCAGAAAGGGGAAGGCAACACCAGGATGTGCCCTATATTTGTGCAGGGCCTGGCCTGACCCCCCGTCTGCCCCCAGGGAGTCATGTGTGCCCAGCCAGGGCACTGCCCCAGCTGATGCCCCAGAGCGGCCACCCATCTCAAGAAGGGCACTGGACCCCACCTCACCCCCTCATGGAGCATGAGCCAGAGCCCAAGGCCAATGAGCTGTTGGACCTCAGCTTCCTGACGGAAGAGGAGCAGGACGCCATTGCTGAAGTCCTGACGCGAGATGCCCACCTGCGCCAGCTGGAGGAAGGGCGGGTCAGGTGAGGAAGGACAGGGCAGTAAGCCCAGGCGGAGGGGGCCTCGGGCACTGGGAGCTGAGGGACCCCACCCCGCCCCCACTGACACGCCGCCTCTTAGATATCTGAGTAGTTCTTGGTTTTTGCCTTTTGGTTCCGCGTACTCCTGGCCAGGTCAGCTTATCCCCTCTCTCAGGGAGGCTGCAACAGCACCCTGCCGGCTTCCCGAACTCCAGGCTCGCCCGCTCCGGCCAGCCCAAACCTTCTCAAGGCTCCTCGGCGTCTGCCTCAGGGGCAAGCTCCTAAGCCGGGTCCACAAGGGCTCCCTGATTGGTCCCTGCCAGCCTCCCACATCTCGTCTCCCACCAGTAACCACCAATACGCCTCACACACATACGCCGAGTGTCCACTACAGCCATTCAGGTGCTCCACGGTCCCTGACACACCCACCTTTCACTTCTAGGTCGTTCCTTCTTCCTGGAAGAGCACAGTGGCAGATGAGCATGGGACTTATAAGTAGAGCTTGGGGACAGACACCTCCTAGCTGTGTGACCTTGGGCAACTTACCCAACCTCCCCAGCACCACTGTCCTCAGCTGCAAAGCGTGGCTAAGGAGCACTTCCTCTTAGTGTTAGGAGGGATTATGCAGAGCAGTCACTTTATTAATTTGTTTTAATTTTAAAGAGTTTTATTTATTTTTTAAATTTTTATTTATTTATTTCTAGAGAGAGGGTAAGGAAAGGAGAAAGAGAGAGTGAGAAACATCTATATATGAGAGATACATGGATCTGTTGCCTCCCACACTCCCCTAACCGGGGACCTGGCCTGCAACCCAGGCTTGTGCCCTGACTGGGAATCGAACCAGCAACCTTTTGTTTTGCAGGCCAGTGCTCAATCCACTGAGCCACACCAGCCAGGGCTGCTTGCTTTAGTTATTATTTTTAGATAGGCAATCCAGAATTATAACAGAATTTATGCTAGAGTAAGTTACCTATAGGAAGATTAAGTCAGAGTAGAAGGTGACCCCACAGTCTTCACAGATACCCTTTGCTGCAAGACAGTAGCTACAGTAAATGTTTTATAGTATAACTACTAATGATCGACAAGACAAAGGAACCATAACTCCTGGTGGCCTTACAGTGGTAATTGCTTACAACTGACACTGGCACCTAGTTTGATATTCATCTCACAGTTGGCCCTTCTTATATCCATCACAGCACCTACCTCTCTACAGTGTACTTGTCTATTCGAGACTCAGTCTCCCCACCAGCCTGAGCTCTTCCAAAGTAGGGATCAAGTCTGATTTGCCGTTGTGTCCCTGGCCCCAGGTACAGGGCCCAGCACACAGTGGGTGGCAGGAACGTTGGCTGGGTGAGTAGTAACAGCCACAGCCTCCCCTATCCTCCAGGAAGCTCCGGGCCTCGCTGGCAGACTCTGGGCAGCTGAAAATCCTGACCGGGGACTGGTTCCAGGAAGCGCGCGCCCAACGGCACCACCATGCCCACCTCGGCTCTGACCTTGTCCGAGCCTCTATCCGCAGGAAGAAGAGCTCCAGGGGTAAGGGAAGATATTGAGGGCAAGGCAGGCTTCATGCAGACCGGGGTACCCAGTGTATGTGGACAGGTAGAGGGCCCCTGGGTTCCAGTCCCTGCTGCCCCTGGCACTGTGCCTTTGGTTGAGTACCACCCTCCAGGACCAGTGGGCTATGGGAGGTGGGTGGTATCTCCCAGGGCCAGACTTTCTGCGGAAGGGGTTTCACAGAACTTCTCACCTGTGCACAGACCAGGCTCTGGATAGCACCACCGAGGCTGAGGCTGCGGGGCAAGAGACCGAAGAGGAGTTGGAGCCCGGGTGAGTAGGGGTGGCAGGGAGGGCAGGGTGCCTACGAGTCATCTGAGTCCTGGCCCTGACCACCTCTCCCTACGCCTAGGCCCCTCATAGACCAGGCCCCCCAGGAGAAACTCAGTGAGGCTGAGGTGAGTAATGAGTGAGTGAGTGAACTAATGAATGAATGTACAGTGGCATGGCGGTGGGATGTGTTGGGAAAGAGACCCAGCCTGAGAATCGGAAGAGCCTAGTCTGTGCCTCTGTTCTCCTCTCTGCCAAATGGGTGTATGGACCTCTAAGGAAATCTCTGAATCTGGCTATTACAGGTGGTATAGGAATGGGCAGGGCCTGTCCAGGACTCAAATACTACACTCTCCCACTACTGGGACCCTGGGAGTCAGGCCGGGCAGGCACTGAAGTGTGAAGGGGTGTGAGGTACAGGTCCAACTGGTCCTGCAGGTGGTTGCCAGCCCTGCCCTGATGGCTGTGCTAAATCTAAAGCTGGGGCAGCCAGCTGGAGCCTCTGACCTCTGACCCCATCATAACCTTTTGTCTCTTCATCACTAGTCCCCACTGTGATTTCTACCCCTTGCTTCCTTCAGGGACCTGATTTCCCCTCACCATATGTCCCCCCAGAGGCTTCTGGTCATGAAGAGGAGCCGCAGGCCCAGGAAGGTAAGTGGGAGGGCATGTGTTGGGGAGCACAGAGAAGTTGTGGGGGCCAGAGGCAACTCTTAAGTTACTCCAACCACCTGTGTTGACCTTCCTGTTCCAGTATTGGGGGAGGGGGGAGGCTTTCGGTCTCTATGGACAACCCCAGGGCAGCACTGGGGCCCCAATCTTTAGGTCATGGGGGTTGTAAACCAGTTCCTCCAGATTTCCTCGGGGCGGGCTGAGAGGGGCTGGCTCTGCAGCTTGCGCCCCACCCCAGCCCCTGGCCCAGGGGACACACAGGTTTACGAGGAGCAGGCGGACCCGGAGCTGGAGCCGCCTTCTGGTGGAGAGGAGGAGCCGAAGCCCCGCCCATCCCAGGTAGGCGGGAGCGGCCCGTAGCTGCTCTCAAGACCCGGAGCGGATTCAGGGCGGGGAGTGAGCCGTCGGGACCGAGCACAGGCGAGTAAGGGGCTGGGAAAAGCGGGGACCCCGTCACTTCCCCTCTCCCCAGATCCAGGCGATGTCCGAGATCCTGGAGAACGGGGAGGAGGCTCCGGAGCCCGGCCCCTCACTCGACCGCATGCTCAGCAGCAGCTCCTCCGTGTCCAGCCTCAACTCCTCCACGGTGAGGGGGGCAAGGGGACGGGGACGCCGCTCCTCCCCACATCCCGACGCTTAGTCCCTGCCTCACCCCTTCCTCGACCCCGGACTTAACACTCCAGCTCCTAGGCAAGCTACCTCCCAATGCCCTTTACCTCGTCACCTCGCTTTGTCCCCTTAACCTCCGCCTGAACCCTCCGCGCTCCCCAGCCCCAGTGGGAGCCTGCACCTCGCTCTGACACCCCAATCCCCTCTATCTACCCCAGCTGAGCGGCAGCCTGATGAGCTTGTCAGGGGAGGTGGAGGCGGGTGTGCAGGTGCGCGGCTCCGTGCACTTCTCGCTGCGCTACGAGCCAGCCACCGCCGAGTTGCGGGTACACGTGATCCAATGCCAGAACCTCGCCGCCGCGCGGCGCCGCCGCTCGGACCCGTGAGTGCCCCGCCCGGGCGGGTGGGGGCGCCAGGGAGCCGCTCTCACCGCCCAGTACCACCCCCTGTCTGGGCCTGTTTCCTGGTCCTCAAAATGGGAGTCACGGTGTTCTTGGGAGGCGTGGGGTTGAGTGAGATGACGCCTGTAAAGAGCTACGCGAGGCCTGGCACGTGAAGCTGTGTTCCCTGCTGTGGCTGAGGAAGCCCCCAGGCCCGGGAGGAGGTGCCGAAAGGGCCTCCCCGGCCCTCGCTCATCTGGTCCTCACCTCTCCCACTCCAGCTACGTCAAAAGCTACCTCCTCCCGGATAAGCAGAGCAAACGCAAGACGACTGTGAAGAAACGGAATCTGAACCCTGTCTTTAACGAGACTCTCCGGGTAAGGCTGCGACGACGGGGCGGCCCCCATTCACGAGTTGGATGTCCCTTCCTGAGGGCCAGGTTGCAGGGCAGCCATTGGCATCGTCATTGCCCGTCGCTTCAGCCCTCCATTCTGCTGGAAGAACAGCAGGGAGTCTAGTGGTGGGCGCGGCGTTCAGACTGCCATTAATGCCCTTCGGGGCGTCCCAGGATTCCGCCCTGCAAGGAGTGTGGGAGGACAAGCCCCGGTCAACACTCCCGCAGCACTGGAGCCGGGGCCGTCGGCGGTGCTCCATTAAAGCGCACCTCCTGTCCCCCAGTACTCCGTCCCGCAGGCCGAGCTCCCGGGCCGCGTGCTGAGCCTGTCCGTGTGGCACCGCGAAAGCCTGGGTCGCAACCTGTTTCTGGGAGAAGTTGAAGTGCCCCTGGATACGTGGGACTGGGACTCTGAGGCCATCTGGCTCCCCCTGCAGCCCCGGGTGAGGCAGCTGACCCGTGTGGAGGACCCACGGCACACATCTCCTGTTTTCACCCCACCGAGCTTTCCCCTAGATCCCTTAGACTCCTTCCGCAGAGCCTCCCCTTAGCCCAGAAACCTGAGTACTGGGTGCCAGGACCTGGCCCCGCCCCTGCAGATCCCGCCCTCTCTGCTAACCACGCCCCATTGGGGGTCTGGAGACCCCACCCGGTTGTGGCCTCTTTGCTTTGGGCCCTGTCCCCGCTCCGGCTCCCTGACGAGCCATCTCTCGCAGGTCCTGCCCTCTCCTGACCACCTTCCCAGCCGTGGGTGGCTCTCTCTGTCCCTCAAGTACGTCCCTGCCGGCTCCGAGGGTGAGTGGCCTCCGACGAGAGACCAAGTTGGACCAGCCCCTGGGAGGCAGGGGACTCTGTCCCACAAGAGGGCGGGCTCTGTCCATGGGGCAAAGCCCAAGCCGAGGCTTTCCGCAGGTGCAGGACTGCCTCCGAGCGGGGAGCTGCACTTCTGGGTGAAGGAAGCTCAGGACCTCCTGCCTCTTCGTTCAGGATCTCTGGATACTTACATACAATGGTGAGGGACATGGGGCCTCCCCACTTCCTTTCCTTTTGCCTTGTAGTGGAGCTCCCCACCCCCTTCTAATCACCCACCCTTGATCCCCTCAATCTGCGCTTTGACCACTGAGCACGGGTAAAGGGGACAGCTTGAGTCCGGGGAGTTGAGGACACCTTTGAGGAGCTGCATTTCAGCGGCTGGCACCTTTAGGACTTGCTGGAGAGCTGAGGCTGGGACCTGGGAGGTCGCAGGTGCCCCTCCGTGGAGGACCCACAAGGCCAGGCTGTGAGGCCCTGCAGTTTAGTGGTTTTCAAAGTAAGCTCTGGGGGAACCACTGGTGGTGTCCCCCCAGGCTCTGGCCTGCCCTGAGAGAGTGAAATGCAGGTAGGCCTACAATGGAGAGTGATCTGGAGGTTCCAGATCCAGCCCTGATTCAACCAGACATTGTTTTTATCTTAGGTTCTGTACTTCTGAGCAATACTTTATCTCGCAGAAAGGGCTCCGAGGCTTTAAAAAGTTTGGAAACTACTCTGGGGGCAGCAGGGAGTCAGTGAAGGTCACTGAGCAGGAAGCAGCAAAACCCCATTTCAGAGCCATTCCTCTGGCAGGAGCCCGGAGAGGAGGCTAATGCAAAGGTCCCAGGGTGGTGAGGGCTTGAGGCCAAGTCTCAGGCAGGAGCCAGAGGCTATGTCATTGTGAGGGAGCACAGGTAGAACTCAGTGACTGGTGGGTCCCGGGCAGTGTGGGGGAAGCCACTTCATGCCAGCCCACCTATGCCATAGCTCGGTGCTGCCTGACGACAGCCGGGCCAGCCGCCAACGGACGAGGGTGGTGCGAAGGAGCCTCAGCCCCGTGTTCAACCACACCATGGTCTATGATGGCTTCGGGCCTGCTGACCTGCGCCAGGCCTGTGCGGAGCTCTCCCTCTGGGACCATGGGGCCCTGGCCAGCCGCCAGCTGGGGGGCACACGCCTCAGCCTGGGCACTGGTGAGTGGGGCAGCACCCTGGGGGCTGTCAGTCTTGGGAGGCAGGGACTTAGTTTGGAGCCTTGGACACTTCTCTGCCCTTTTGTGAGCTTTGGTGTCCACGGAGAAGTGAGAGGTAGGTGCATAATCTGGGACCAGGCCGGTATCCAGCATGCCCACGCCCTCTGCCCTTGCCCAGGCAGCAGCTATGGGCTCCAGGTGCCCTGGATGGATTCCACACCTGAGGAGAAGCAGCTGTGGCAGGCGCTCCTGGAGCGACCGTGCGAGTGGGTGGACGGCCTTCTGCCCCTCAGAACCAACCTGGCCCCCAGGACATAGCTGCCTGACAGGCCTTACCGGACCCCTCTCTGGACCCACATCTCAGGGCCTGCCCTTGGAGAAAGCCAATAAAGTCTGTTCTAAGGGCAATAAGGGGCTGATGTCTGTTTGAGGTTGGGGGAAGGGGGTAAAAGCAGGAAAGAACCAGGAAAGTGTAGGAGGCCAGATGAAGACACTTTAGATTCAGACATAAGACCTTTGAGAGCTGGTACCTGAACCCTCAAATACTTCAGAAGTTGCCAAGGCCCAGAGGTACAAAATTGTCCTGTTTAATAGTCTTTGGTGGTGCTCAGTGAGCTTGGAGCATCTCTGTGGTTGGACTGCCCTCCCCCCGCCCCTCCCTGGCCTCCTCCAGTTGCCCCTGGATCCTGGGGTGGGTGTTTCATAAGTTCTTGTGTCTTCATTCATCCATCCTTGGGTCTGGCCTCTTGCCTCTGATGCCTCCTTCAGCCTCCGGGGGGCCAGGGGTAACGGCCATGGATCCTGCTCGATGTGCCAAGATGGCTCTCCAGATGCGGCACGCCATTCCTCCCCTGGGGGTGGCAGGCTCAGTGTGGCTTAGCTAGAAGACCCTGGCCATTCTCTGGCACCCACTGCCTGCCTAATGCCCCCGTGTCCCCTTGGGACCCTGATGTCCCTGTAGTTTCCAGAGAGGAAACTTGGCAAGCCTGTAGCTGGGGGTCAGGATCTGGCCAGCATGATCCCATAGGCAGGGATCACCCTGGAGGCCCAGGACATACCTGATGCGGGTGTAAGTGAGGTCATCTTTAGTGGCACAGGTCAGTAGGGAGTGAAGGGTGAAGCTGTGGTTCAGCAGCTGGTTGGGGACAAAGACCCACACACAAGAAACAGGGAGAGATTAAAATCAGAGGATGTGTCCCAAGCATCAGAGGCTCGTTCTGTTTACTACCAACATGCCAGGGCAGGTCCCACCCCTTTCTGGGCCTCAGCTTTTTCATCTGTACTATGGGAAGGTATGCTAAGTGTTCCTCTAATGTTGGGATTCCCTGCATCAGAGGGGGAAAGTGAGAAGAGCTGAAAGCCGGGTAAGGATGGAGTCTCTGGTTGGTGGAGGTCAGGGATAGTCAGCACTCTGCCCCTTACGGTTTGGACCGTGCCTGAATCCACGTTCAGCTCCTGTAGCCACTGCACCAGGCCCCGGTCCACTGTTCGAGTGGCTGTCCAGGAGAAATCAGGTAAATCAGGGGTGCCTCCTGCCAGAGGCTGTCTCACACCACCGTTAGCATTCTCCAGCCTGGTCCCACTCACCTGGGGGCTCTGAGGCCAGGGAACAGGTCCTGGCCTCCTCATTCACCCGCTGCAGAGCTTGTTGCACCAGGGCCCGCCACTCACATTCCTTCTCTGCCAGGATGTCTCGAAGCCTGTTGGATGGCAGAAAGCCAGTAGAAGGGAGGACAGAATAGGGGTGACGCTCACAGAGAGGCTGTGGAGGGGCCTCAGAGGTCTTACCTATCAGTCTCTGCTTGCAAGAGGCTGAGCTGTACCATCAGAGGTGGGGGGCCCTGCTCGGGTTCCCTTGAGAGCAGGCTCTGCTGAATCGGGGTCTCCTGCTGCTTCTGCTGGGACTCCTCTTCACTGGACTCTTCTGATGTTGGCGAGGCTGCATCCTTCTTCACTTCTGCCAGTCAGAGTGAAGGGCAGAGCTCAGGCAGGGCAAGAGCGCCCATTGGGACCCCAAGACACTGGCGGAGGATGCACAGGGATCTACTCAGCGGCCAGGCGGTGTCAGTCTGGGAGTTGCCCGTTTGGTCATGCCCCCACCCACTCCTTCCTGGTCAAGCCTGAAGATCACAGCTCCTTTTGTGTTCGCCACCTTCCCAAGGGCCACACCCTCACCCACAGGCAGGCAGACGGGCTCCACTCCAGACCTACCTGGGCTCAGTACTGCCAGGGCTGCCTCTACAGCACTGCCAAGCAGGGAGTCAAGCACGAACATCCAATGTGGGCGGATCTGGCGCCTACGGAGAATCTGCTTCACCTAGAGACGGAGGAGGGCGCAGCTGAGACTGCTAAATCTCAAAAAGGTGCGGCTTGAGTTGCAAAGGCCTAGAAAATTTCTGCCTGAGGCAAGTGGGGTGGACAGGCTTGGAGTCAAGGGACAGGCTAAGAAGCTTGAACTGGGCAGATGTCCCTTCCCTAATGGCTCTGTCTTCACAGAGAAGACTGGGAATCATTTGACACTAAGTCCTTGCACATTTCCAAGCCCAGGGCGCTCATGAGCTCTTCTTGGGTAGCCCTGTAAGAAAGCTCCCTTACCACATGCGGGAAGGCAAAGAGCAGTCCATGCAGAAGCGCAGGCTCAAGGCCCTGGGCCCCCAGCTGCTCTTGCAGCTCCTGCAGCTCCTGGGCCAGCTGCCGGCGGTTGGGAGTGTGGATGTGCGCTCCGAGGCAGCGCAGTAGCTGTTCCACAAGATTTCTGCCCAGACGGGGACTCTGACAAGGAATAGAGGAGTCATCAGCAGATATTCCCACTTGAGCCAAGAGATGCTGGCTGTGGGCTGAGGTTGGTGGCCATCGGTAGGAATCCTGTCGATGCTTGACCACCAGGGGGCGCTGGGGCGGGCCGCCCACCTGTTCTTGCTCCAGGCACAGATTCTCCACCAGCGCGGGCAGCTCCCGCTTTAGCACTTCTGCCAGCATGGCCCGGCGCTTGCTCTCTTGATGCAGCAGGCTCAACCCCGAACTCTCCTCAGGAGACGTGGGCTCCTCGGCTCCAGGCTCCTCAGGCACCCTGCGTGCAACGGGAGCAGCCGGTACAGTGCCAGCAGCAACGCGGTCCAGCCACCTCCGCCCCACGGTTTGAATGCTGGCTCTCTCTTTGACTCTCAGGCCTATCTCACAGGGATAGAGGGGAGAAAGCTGGCACTGAGGGGACACACTAAGTACGAGTAAGAGATTTGGGAGGTAGGAACCAAATGCCATCCTCGCAAGTGGTGGAGGTGCCGGGGTTCCCAAAGGAGCTTTTTCTGCAGGAAGTGTAAGGGCAAAACCAGATGAAGTGAACCCACCCCAGGATCCTGGGCTCTCACCGGAGCTGGCTGGTGTCTCCATAACTGAGGCAGCGCTTCGGGAGACTGGGAGGGTGTTGAGAGGGTGCCTGAGGGCGTGGGAATGTCTGGGACTGGGTGGTCAAGTCAGCCGAAAGAGGAGGGCTGGCTGAAGGGGCTTCTAAGGGAGGGACAAGACTGTCAGCGTAGGCCCCCTTCCGCCTCACAGAGCTCCTCTGCCCTCGCCCCGGTGTGCTCGCTCTCCCCGCTGTGCAGTACCAGCAGGCCGTGGAGCATGGCGGGGCGATCCTGGGCTTCGGCTCCTCTTCCCAGGCTGCAGGAAGGGGTCCCCAAGCAGTGCTTGTGCACTGGCTCGGAGGCGGGGATCTGGCTCAAAAGTTCTCAGGAGGAAGGCTTGGGCCTCAGCTGACAGAGAACTGGGCATTGGTGGATGTACCTTGTACATGCCAACCTGGGAGAGGGCAGGGAGCATAAACGAAGGTTAAGTTTAGAGGTATTTAGAGCCCAGTCTGTCTGCATACCACCTCATGAGCCAGGGCCTGAGTGGTCTCACCTGAAACATGGCAGCCTGTGGGTTCCCTAGCTCATGGAAGGGGGGGCGACCCGTGGCCATCTCGATCACAGTGCAGCCCAATGACCAGATGTCAGCTGCCTTTCCATACCCTCGTGGGCCCTGGTCAATGATTTCTGGGGCCATATACTGCAGGGTCCCTAGGACAGGAGCAGTAGCAATAATGCTCATCCGAGCTTTATTGCTACAGGAGCAGCGGGGGGCTGTATCATCCTGTGGCTGCCTGCACCCTCCCTGGATGCTATCATCCAAAATAGTTCTCATCCCTCATCCTGGTCATCAGACATCTGAGTTTCCTCACTCATCTTAGGCTCTATCCCATTCACGGACTCCACCGCCTGCAGTAGTTTCTATTATATATCCTGGATTGCGCGATCCATTCTAAATTCTATCGCCCACTTTGGTCCTGTCAGTGCTTCTGGATTCCAACTCAGGCACTCAACGCAACGTCCTCAGCTGTCCAAACTCCAAGTCTGAATTCCATCACCTCACCCCTGGCTCAGTCACCTGCCCTGGGTTCTGTCCCCCATTAGGACTCTAACTCCACGCCCAGGAGAAGCTCCATTCCCTGCAAGGCTCCAGAAGTTCCATCCCAGGTCAGCATCCCCACTCCCCTCCCCACATCCTATTACCTGTGAAGGTCTCAGTGCAAGGTGTAATGCCTGCCAGCCGCTTGGAGGTGCCAAAGTCGGAAATTTTGAGTAGCCCACTGAAAGTGTTGATCAGCACATTGTCCCCCTGAGTAGAATGTACATTGCATTCAGTGGCCATCAGGCTGGGCTCCTGGTGACAGAGCGAACCCTACCCCGGATCCCGTCTCCTGGGAATCCCAGTCTGACCTGGCCTCTGTCAACCTCCTCACCCTGCCATCCCACTATGCCCCTCTGGGGGCTGGCACCTGGTTTGGCTTCAGGTGCAAACCTCTCTTCTTCTCTAGGGAACCTTCTTGAATTCTCCGCCCTTTGCAAAGGGTCCGCCCACTGAACTGCCAGTCTTGGTTTGGGGGCTATATCTCCTCCATTCCCACTCCCAGCAAGCCAGAGTGGTCCAGCTACAGTGCTAACCTTGATGTCACGATGCACAATTCGGTTGTCATGTAGGTAGCTGAGTCCCTGCAGGATCTGACGGGTATAGAAACTGATGGTGCTCTCGTTGTCCTGCAGGGGTCCCCACACTGACCGCAGCAAGGAGGACAGGCTGCCTGGGCAGGTAGAGTCCAAAGTCATCATTGCCACCCATTTACTCCAACCCACAATTCTCTGCTCAGACACACCCATGCTATGGCCGAGACTCCATCACCCCCACTGCCCTGTGTCAGCTAATTCTGAGCTACACGCCACCTACACACGCTAGGATTCATTTCCCCCAAGGGTTCTCCACCCCTGCCTGGCTCCATCCCCATGCTCTACATCTGCAGTTCCACTCCTGTCCCAGCAGGGCAGGTACCTCCAGGCACTTCCTCCATGAAGATCTTGAGGTAGCCGCCCTGGCTGGCTGAGCCCAGATAGCGCACAATGTTCTTGTGGCGCAGGCGTTTGTGCAGAGCGATCTCTTCATGCAGGGGCTGAGAGACCCTAGGGGCAGTTAGAGAGAGGAGTAGGCCAGATTTGGACAGAGATGCTTACCCAACTCCAGCACCAGCTAGGCTACGCCCCCAGGATCTGCCCGGCTCACAATCCCCTCTGACCTTCCCCACTTTATCATCCAGCCCCCAGGCCCCTCCAGATTGTAGCCCCAACCCCTGGTCTCTGCCTTTCTGTCCACAGGCCTGAGCCCACTGGGCTTGGAATCTCCCGTCCATGAGCCCGCCCATCTGCCCCGCCCACATGGGCCTCTCAGCTCTGGTCCCACCCACTTGACCTGCCTACTTTACCTGAGCCCTTGGCCCCACCCACACGCCCGGTGCAGCACACCTGCTGTCCCGTTCCGGGATCTCCTTGATGGCAATGCGTACCCGCGTGTGCCGGTCGCGGCCTGCGTACACGACCCCGTACGTGCCCTTGCCCAGTACCAATCTCTCTCCGGTCTCCGTGTACTCGTAATCAAACTGTGGGGGAGGGTGAAAAGGGGGATCAGCGGGGCTCTTAGTCCTTTCCCCTCCCCCATCTCTGATCTCCCAGTTCCTCCTCCTCACCTCCAGCACCTCACCCACGCCCTCGGCCTCCTCCGCGGGTGCTCTGGAATCCGGATTTGTCACCAAGGCCTGGATCAGGCTGCAGAACCTGCGGGCGGAGGAGGTCAGACCGATGCGGGGTGGGTGTGGGGGTACCTTGGGTATAATGTCCTATCCTTTGCTGAGAGCAGCTCTGGGCCACATCCCTTCCTTTCCCACACTCCCCTGGGCATCCCAGCCCTGACCCCAAGAGGTTGCACTCACCACAAGCAGTGCCCTACGCTGGGGAAGCACAGCTGGACGTCCTGAGCCGGGGGAAGTGCATAGAGGAAGCAGCAGCGTCCATCCTGTTTGGAGGCACTGGGAAGGGATGAAGGACACAGTGAGCACCAGGCCAGCCAGCAGGGTGCCCCACCTGGACTGGCCCGGGCCTTGCTCCTCACCTGACACCACAGATGGAGGAGACTGAGAAGGCCCAGCTGGAGGGACCGTCCTGTGAGAAGCAGGTGAGTCAGAGGATGGTGCCAGGGAACAAGAGAGGGGCCTGGGGGTGGAAGAAAGGCTAGAGAGAAGGGGTGCTTAGCAGGGAGTTGAGGGGCTGGGTGGCAACTTCACCTGGGTCTCAGGCTCCAGCAGGCTCAGGGTCACTGCGCTCACTGGGTCTCTACCCTGAACCTCCAGCCTTGCAGGCAGCAGCACTTGGTTCATCTCCAGGACCAGGACCTGCAGGTGACAAGGGAGTGTGGGGGCTTAGATGAGAAGAGGGCTGCCCTTCTCCCAGGTCCCCTACCCCCATGGGCCTCACCAAACACTGGTCCCCTTGGGAACTGGCAGTTTTGAGCAGCTGGCAGGACTGTAGTAAGAAGTGGAGCCAGAAGTGGGCACGGCGTGGGGTACCTCCAGGGGGCTCTGGTGTGGGTCTGAAGTGCTGGTACAGCAGGAAGGTTTCCATCATGGACACCAGGTACCTGCAGGCACACGATGTCTTCAACTCAGCCCAGGCACCAGTGAGCCCAAGAGAGTAGACTGCACGCGGGCACCGGGGGTCATGGCACTGGAAGGGGCCAGGTCACTGGCCCAGGGCTCAGGCCAGTGGTCACAGTTGCAGGAGCTGACAGCACAAGCCAGGCCAAGACTGAAGAGGGGGCCACTTACCATATGGGGGCATTGAGCTTGTATAGCTTCTCTGCAGCCAGTGCCACCTGGGTGTGGTCATTAGCAAGGATCTGAGCTCCCAGGTAGAAGCCTACGTCCCAGTAGTATTGCATCTTTTCCACACAGCCTTTTCGGGCCAGCAGGCAGCCCAGCTTCATACCTGGAAGCAAGAGGCATGGGCCACACATTCATGCAGGCAGGGACACAGATGTGGGTGAAAATGTAGGTGTGACATAATCTCAGGTGGGAGTAGAAACTCTGGGAACACGTGTTTGTGGAAGGAACATAGGTGTGAGCTAAGGAGCAAAAAAGTCATCGGCTTAAGGGCTCACGAGGCCCTAGGACAGGTATGAGGACCCAGGTGCGGGTTCGGACAGGACAGATCCAAAAGGGGACAGACCCAGTCCCAGCTCAAGTGCACTGTTTTCTCTCCCTGACCTCAGCCCCTACTGGGGGGACAAGGGTGCAGGACTGAGGCTCACCGATGAGCTGGAGCTCGTTGGAGTCCTCAAAGCGCTGCCCAGCAGCAATGAGGAGTACAGCAGCGTTGATGCCGGAGTGGAGGCTGGGCTCGACATCAAAAGCCTTCCGATACCTGGGGGCCAGGCAGAGGGCTGCAAGGCTGGACTGGTGCCCACAGTCCCAGCCCTCTGCTGACTGCCTGCTTGCTTGTGCCCCTTACCAGTGATAGGCCTGTTCTCGGTGCCCAGCATCCTGGAAGCCAGAGCTGAAGAACATGTCTTTGTAGATGCGGCCGCACAAGCAGTACAGGTCAGGCGCCACGGAGGCCTTGCTCTGGACCACTGGCAGCAGCACGGCCAGTGCCTTCTCCCGGTCCCCAGGCCTGTTCCTCCTAGGAGAAGGGCAAGATGGGCTGGGGACCTGCCTGGTGGCCCTGTCCCATGTCTGGGGGACCCCCCAGATGCTGAACATCAGGGACCCTTCCAGGAGCCTGACAGAAATGAACCCAGAATGGCAGTGACCCTGGTCAGCACTGACCTTCCTAGAGGTAGTGATCCCAGATGGAAGTGACTTCTAGCTGTAGTGACTCTGAAGAGAGGTGATCTTGGACAGCTGTGACCTCTCCAAGGGCACCCCCTCACCCCACAGATGGGCGACAGTAATAGAACGGGACCATCTGACATCAGTGTGACCCTGGTCAGCAAACTCCCCAAATAGCCCTGAGCCCAGACAGCAATGTCATACAGTGGGGACCCATGCTCCCAGGTGGCTAGGACCTGAGTGTGGCTCTGCCGCTCACCGGTTGAGGGCAAATGTGTAGTGGAAGTGGACATTGTGCTGCCTGGCCACATCACAGGTGGGCAAGGCCTGCAGCGTCTCCACCAGCTCGATGATGGCTGAATAGTCCTGTGTGAGGGAGCGGCACACACTGAGACAACGGCCCCTGGTGGGTTCCGCTGGCCCCCAATCCCTGAGGGAAAACCTTGAGCTGGGGGTCCCCTCCCACCCGACACTCACCTTCCCATCACCACCCTCTGCACACCTCCCTCAGGCCTGGCCGGCAGTGCAGACACTGCACCTTCAAAAAGAACTCACTGTGCACCCAACCCCACAGCTGCCCTGGGAGACGGTGACGTGATCACCCCCACTACAAACAGGCTCAGAGTCAGGAGCTGATGCGCACTTGTCTAACACTGAATGCTGTGTCCCTCCCGCCTCTCTGTGCACACCTGCACGTCTCGGTAGGAAAGCAGCAGGTTCATGATGATGTCAGGGCTCAGCAGCTCCACGCTGTCCAGTCTCCGCTGCAGGCGAGCCAGCTCCTGCCGCAGCTGCTGCCCGCTGAACCGCTCCCGGGCTTGCCGGATGTCCTGCCGAATGGTCTCCCGAAAATAGCCACTGGTGCCCACAGCAGGAGAGGGAGGGAAGGGGAGGAAATGGTGGGGCCTGTCCCTCAGCCCACACCACTGCACCCGCTCTGGCCTCCTCCTGGTGCACCTTCCCTCGCTCCCCCTTACCAAGAGTCTGTGGGTGTGGCCTCCAGCAGGCGGGCAAGTCGGCCCACCAGGGGTGTGAGCAGGGCCTCAGTGCCCACTCCGGGCTGGACCAGCCCGTCAGCCAGACCTCTCAGGAGGCCGACATCACCACACAGCACTCGACCAGTGGCTGTCACGACATAGGGGATCAGCGTGTAGCTGCCAACACAATCCTGGTGGGAAGGAGGCAGGAATCAGTAGAGGTCAGAGGTCAGCACCAAGTTAGAGAGAGGCAGTGTCAGCACCAGTGGGAACTGGAATAGTAGGGAAGGGGCACACTGCAGGAAGGGAAGCAATAGGGAGCAGAGGGTCACACAGATGTCAGGAGGTATTGGAGAGGTCAGAGGTGACTGAGGAGGCCAGGAAAGGTAGTGGGGTCAGAGGTCATAATGGAAGTCAAAGGGCACGTTGGAGTGAGGGGTGGTTTCTGCTCACAGAGTTCTTCTGGAAAATGTCCTCCTGCAGGGAACAGACAGATACTGATGCTCTGGGTAGGCCATACCCCCACCCTGTGCGAGCCCCCACCTGCCACCTGGCCACCTACCCGAAGGGCCTGCAGGTCAGGGATGTCAGCCTGGGAGCAGAGAAGCACGTTGTTGGTCATGCTGAAGCTCTCACGCACACCGAGGTGGTAGAACAGAGAAGGCTGTGCCAAGGAGTTGCTCACCTCCAGCACCACCACGTCTGCAAGCACACAGGTGGGGCCCTGAGCCCTGAAGCCCAGCTTGGTGGGGAGAGGGGCTGGCAACCCGTCCTGGCTCAGCCTGCCTTCCCATGTGACTCCAGCAGGATCCAGTTTTGTTCCTGGCCTCAGTTTCCCCCTTCTAGAGTCCTTTGGGCTCTTACACAGAACTAGTGTCTGTGGTGCTGCAGGAGAGGGCTTGGGCTCAGTGGGCCCTCACCTTGCCGTTCAGAGCCTGTGGCCCCTGGGCACAGGGAAGGGGAGGCTGTGCGCCAGTCCAGTGCCTGTTCTAGGCCATTTGAGAAGCAAGAGTTGGGCCAACACGTAAGTCGCCTTCCCTGAGTCCTCAGCCCAGTCTCTTGAGAGGTCCCAGCACTGTGTGTAGATAACTCTGCCTCTGTGTGTATAGCTTACTGTGTCTGGATCTCTGGGTGTGACAGGTTCTGTGAGGACCTGTGTATTGACATGTATGTGATTTGTAAGTCTATTTATAGCTCTGTATGCTGTGTGTCCTCGGCTGCGAGTGAGCCTTCATTTTCTAGGCTGCGATTTTATGGACGTCCGGCAAGCACTGGTGCCTCGACTCTTGGATAAACAAATAAGTTTTGGGAGGCGTCAGGGTTGGCAGAAGGAAGAGGCTACTTGCCCTGGAAAAATCGCCTTCTGGTCCCACCCCCAAGCGATTCTGCCCCGCCTCCAGCCCCGCCCGTTGTCTTGGGGGAATGAACCCCTCCTGACCTAAGCTCCCTTGCTCAGAATCCAGTCTGTCGAGTCCCGTAGCTTCCTTTTCTGCCTCTCTAGCCCAGTCCTCAGAAGTAGTATGTTAGCACACCTGAACTCCATTCCCCCGAGTAGAGGCCCTTCCCTGGTCCAAGCTCCACCTCCCAGGATCCGCCCTCATATACTCCGTGTGAAATCATTCCGAGGCGGAGTTCTCCAACCCCATCGCTAAAATACCGCACACCCCCACCCCCAGGCTCCCAGCAGTGGCCCAGTCCTAACCCCTTTCCTTATGCACGGTGCCTGCTTAAGTCCCCACCCTAAGCCCCGCAGCCCGGCCTGGATCCGCTAAGTTCTAGCCCGACCCCGGCCGAGCTCCAAACCCCCTAAATTCCACTTTTGTCAGGGTACCACCTCGGGTCCCTAAGCTTTAGCTCACTTTATACTCCCCCAGACCTCACACCCGTCTCGGTCCCTCCCCGGAACCGGTGAGCCACTCCCCTTTCGGCCCAGCCCAAAGCCCTAAAACCGCCCGTAATCCTGGTTCCGCAGCCCAGCGCACACTCACCGGCGTTGTAGAAGGAATCCAGCGCTGCCGTGTCTCCCAGCGCCAGCGTCCCGAAGGGCAGGCTGCGCAGCTGCGGCCGCGGCCGTGTGCCGGGGACCTGCGCGCAAGCCTCGCGTAGGCAGCGCAGGGGCAGCGGCTCTGCCTCGGCTCCACTGTCCCGCTTCGCCCCGGGCTGCGGCTCCAGGGTCAGCACGTAGACCACGCTGAGCGGCCGGCTTCGTGCGCAGCCCCGGCCCGGGAGCGCTGCGGTCGACCGGCCCCTACTCAGCTCCTCGGCTAGAGGGTCCTGCCAACAGCTGCCGGCGCACTCCAAGGCCTCAGGCGGGGGGCACTGCCCGGCCATGCGGGGGCGCTCAGGCGTCGGGCGTGCTCTGGGCACCCAGTGCCGGGCAGGAGCCAGGGGCGATGTGTCCAGGGATCTCGAGATCGGGAATCCGATCGGGACTGGGAATCTCTTATGGGATCTGGAGGTCCGAAGTCCTGCCAGAGATTCTGCTCCCGAAATCTGGAGTACAGGGTGAAATGTGGTCTCTGACTTGGAAGGTCCTGAGGATCTGAAATCGGGAATTGGGTCCCAGGAATCTGGGGCACCCAGTGATCCGTGGCTCAGAGTCACGTGGGAGATTCCGGGAATCAGTCCGATCCTGTCAGCCACTCAGACTCCGCAGGAGAGCGTCCACCGTCGTTTTCTCTGCCCTGTGTGTAGGCTGGGCCCAGCCCTTTCCCGCGGACCGGAAAGCTCCACCCTCGGCCCTGGGGCGGCGCTGCTCCCTAGCGGCCCAGGACTCAGCCTCTCGCCTCCTTGCATCCAGCTTGAACCTCCGAGTCCCGCACTTCCGGAACAGCCTGTGCCACTGTGCATACCAACCACAGTGGACTGCTCACAACAGGAGCTCATAATGTGTGTGCCCAGCTCCGAGCTAGGGAAGAGGCGTGAATTGCAGGCCCTGCCTTTGAGGGATCTGTTGAATGAATGGATTTCCAGAGACACTAGGATCTGCAGAGCGTGGTGAAAAGAGTGGGTGTTCTCCAGGGAGGGACTGGAATGGGGGAAGTCTGCCCTTCCCCCTGCCTGGAGGCCATCAGCCCTAGTGCGGGACTTGGCATCTGAGTCGCCTAGTTTGCCCTCTTGCCAGGGAGGCTACTTTCCCTAGAATCCAATCTGCTGCTCTTGGACCTCCATTCTGAACCCGACCATAGGACTTCAGAAGAGTGTCCCCACAGACATTTGTCTACCCACCTGAGAGAGAACCCCAGGACTCCCGCCCTTCTCCAGTAAAGGAGGTGGCAACCTGCTGTAAACCTTGGTGGGCTCCAACATCAGGAAATGGGGACTTAAGAGAGCTTGAATGACTAGTCTGAGACCACTCAGCCACAGGAGCAGGATGCAGTCCCCGGACTACAGATATTAGACTCTCAACTGCCGTGTTTTGCTGTGTATAATGTGCACTTTTTTGCCCAAATTTTTGAGGGAGAAATAAGGATGCTCATTGTACATGGGTATAATAGCCCTGTGTGTAATGTGCACAAAACATGGGTGTGCATTATACATGGCAAAATACGGGCACTTATTGCTCTGCCACTTTCTAGAATGTGGCTCTGGCGGACTAACTGCTTGATAAATGCTGGCTCAATAATTCCTGTTTCATTGCCTGTAGCCCCATAGAAGAAAATGTACCTTGGGTTTGACCCCGAGTTTAAACCAGCCTCGAGTGGAACCAGAGAGAAGTAGCCAAGGATGAGCTCTGGGCTTACAACAGAGGCTGGAGTGGAAAACAGATGACCTATCAAAGATAGTCCTGGGTAACGGAGGGGGTGAGAAAACTGTGCAATTTGTACCACAAAACCACCCACTTGTAGGACCCAGAGGGCCCAAGAGCACTGTCAGTGGGTGCTTGAATCCCAAGTCCTTCACTAAATGTTCCCCTGGCCTTGGCTTGCATACTTCCAGAGATGGAAAACTTACTACCTTACGAGGCTGACCCTTTCCTCTTCCTGACTGAAAGAAAAGTCTTCCTTCAATGGAGCTAAAAACCTATGTCCCTACTCTTGAGGTTTTCCCAGTAACTGGAAGAGTCCTGCATGCCAGGAAAGGGTTAAAACGGTTTTATTTTTAAAAGCGGACAGCAGAACAGAGGCAGTTAGCCATGGGGAGGGGCGCTGAGGGTCCGGAAGCTGTGCAGGGGAGATAAGGGCGCTGGTTGCATGCGTGCCCTAGCGAAGCATGATGCGGACCCTGCGGTAAGGGTGGCCCACGCCGAGGCCTGAGGCCCAGTCAACGCCGTACTTGTGGGCAGCGGTGAGGGACGTGGCATAGTGCCCGTTGAGATTGGCCCGATAGCAGGATCCGTACCACCAAGCACCATGGACCACCACCGCGCAGTTGCCCCCGCTCTTTGCATCATGGTCGGCATCGTAGGTGCTGAAAGACTTCCCGCTGTGATAACTCAGGGAGTCCCCTGGCAGGGAGGACGGGAGGCTCTTTGGTGCTGGTGCCGGCGCCGTGCCTGGCACCCTTGGAGAGAGTACCTCAGGGGAGCCTCAGAACAACTGAGAAGTGGGTGTCATTGGGCCCCGTGAGAAAACTGCAGTGCCAAGGAGCCGGGGTGCTTGCCCAAGGTTGCTCAGCTAGTCACAGGGACACTGGGACTTGATCTCAGGACTGTGGCTCCAAAGCCACCAGCTCCTCTCCCTGCCTTGTCCCCTCCCAGAACCACCAGCTTCCCTCTGGCTCCTTCCTCTCGTCCTAGCTCCCACCTGCAGCAGCCTGAGCAACTCTGTCAAGAAGAGCTGGGAGGGACTCCTAAGATGCCTGGGCAGGAGAGGGGGTCTCCTGAGACAGCTCCTCAGGTCACTTCCCTCTTTCAAGCCTTTCCTCAACAGCTGCTGTTTCTCCGAAAAAAGCTTTCCCTAGTTCCTCTTCTGAAGCAGACAACGCTAACACTCAACAGGGCCTCAGTAGTTCCCGCAGCCTCTCTCCCCACCTTCCCCTCCATTTTACGGCACAGGAAACTGGGGCTCTGACGTGGAGGGAATTTGCCAGGGGTCACATAGTCAGTAAATGACAGAGCTGGGTTCAGACTCCCGTCTGTTTGCCTCATGAGCCCAAATTCTTTACTCCTGTTTCACTTTGCCTTATAACTGCCATTTCTCAGATGAGAACACTGAGGCCAGAGAGGAGAAGGAATTATCCCGGGTCATTATGGAAGCAATGGCAGTGCTGTACAAGAACCCAGCACTGCCTCGCCTTTTTCCCCTTCTCCAGGGCCCCACCTGAGGGTTGCTCACCTGCAGTGCCCGCTAAGAACTTGCCCAGCACCAGCTGGTAGTGGTCCGCCTCCCCAAGGAGGCGGAAGGACTCGTAGTGGGCAAAGGTGCGGTTGCCACTAAAGTCCTCCAGCTCCACGAAAAGCTCCCAGGTACCTGGTGGGGGTGGAGGGAAGGGCAGGGAGGGGGGATCCTTAGACCCCAGAATGTCAGAAGAATACCACTCAGGCTCCCTGGACCTTGCTGGGAACTTACCCTGGAGAGTCAGCTGGTGCAAATTCTCATTACCCAGCCAGAATTCAGACTCTTGACTCCCAAAGCCCGCTTTGTAGGAGGACCAAGAGCGGAAGAAATCCACAGAACCATCCTGTCGCCTCTGGAACACCTAGGGAGGTGGAGAAGGCTAGCACACCAGCCGCTGCTCCAGGCTTGGCATGAGATGAGGAGAGGCGGGCCGGGGGGGGGGGGGGCAGCTGAGCCAGGGCACTCTGTGAGGAGCGGCAGCCATTCCCTGCCTCTTTGACCTGGGGGCTTGTTGATACAGTGCGAGTCCAAGTGAGCTTTGTCTATGAATGAATGTAGCGATGAACCCTATATACATTTATTAACTTTTAGTGCCAGTAAAACAGTAGACTTCACACCAAAGCCTTGCCAGAGTCTCCTGGGGGAGACTGAAATCATAGAAATGCTGTTCCTGCCTTCTGGGTGTGGTCAGTCCTGCTCGGAGTCAGATTCAAAAAACCTTGCTTTATTTACTATGATAAGAACCAAGATATTAGAGCTGAGGGGTCACCTCCAGAGGCCCAAGCTGGACAGTCCCCAGGCTTCCCTCCTGTAGATTTCCCTCCTGAGCATCTTTCAGTCTAAGTGCCTCCATTCCCACTGCTGCCACCGCCCACTGTCTTCTCCCGCCTGAACCTCTGCAGGCCTTCTAACCTCTGTCCCTGGTTGCACTCTTGTTCCCCACTGCATGCATCTTCCATGTTGTCGTCTTTCTAAAGCACAAGTCTGGCCTGGTAATTCCCTGCTTAAAACTCCCCCATGGCTCCCCATCTACCCCACAATCCTCAGTCATTCAGTGCTCCCCATGAACTGGCCCTGGCAGGGGCCTTCCATCCATGCCTGACCCTCACCAGTAGACCTCAGCCCGCCACTCACACCTGCGGCTCACTCGCCCTGCCCCCGCACCTTCTGGCACTGTCCTGTCTCACTGGGCTCGTCTTTCCCTCTACCTGGAATGCCATTCCACACCTTGTCTGTCTTGAGAACTTCTGCCTTCAAGGCCTTGTCAGATGGCGTCTTGTCTGTGAAGCCTTCTCAGACTTCAGGTCCCCTGGGGGCTCAGTAAATGTTTGTCTGAGAATTACTCCAAAAATGCCTTAGCTCCAGTGGGCTCTGGCTCCCCCTGGGGGCCAAAGGGCAGAAGTGGGCCTCGCCTGGGAGTCTTCTCTCTGACACTCACCAGCCATCCACCCCCTCGGGTGTCCATGTCACAAAAAACTGGAAGGGTTCTGCCTTCAGGTAGGCATAGATGGTACCAGCCACTCAAGGTGGCGCCCCGGCTCAGCAGCTCCTGGCAGTTCCTAGGACCTGGAAAAGGGGAGATGGACTGAGAGGCCCCCCAAGTTATAACCCAACCACACTCCCTGGGCAATGGAAGAGGCTAAGTGTGGGACCTCAGGAGCCCTCTCTGCTCCTTCAGGGCCCTGAAAGAGTCATTAGGGCTGGGTCATGCCTGGTAGTCCACCAACACCCCAGCACCACCTGGTTCCAAGCTCCTGGCTCCTGCCAAGGCTGCCTCACCTTCCTGGCACCGGAGCAGGTTTGCTGGATCTCCTGCTCCAAGGAAAGACCAAATGTTAGCTCCAAAGCCTGAGTATCCCCAAGGGGGAGGCCCACAAACCATCAGAGGGGAGGGTGCGCAGGCCCTTCTCCTAATCTTTTTTTTTAATGTTTTATTTATTTATTTTTAGAGAGAGGGGAAGGGAAGGAGGAAGAGTGAGAGAGAAACATCAATGTTTGGTTGCCCCTCATGAGTCCCCTGCTGGGAACTGGCCTGCAGCCCAGGCATGTGCCCTGACTGGGAATCACCAGCGACCCTTTGCTTCACAGGCCCGTGCTCAATCCACTGAGCTACACCAGCCAGGGCCCCTTTTCCTAATCTTGTCCACCCCCTCAGCCTTCCGCGCCTCTGTAGGAGGGCAATCACAGCTAATGGCTGAGCAGTAACCCAGCAGAGCCCCCTGCCTTTCTAGCCCAGGGACAGAGCAAAGAAAGAAGAGGCCTGGGTTTCACTTACTCACCTGGCTCGCCCTTGGGACCCATTTTGCCTGGTGGTCCAGGGTGTCCTGAAATCCCAGAGACAGGGATGCTATGAGTTCCACCCCATACTCAGGGCCAAAAGCAACAGGGATTTGGAGACTGGCGTCAGATCCCAGCTGCACCCTACCCTAGCTATGACCATGGACAACTGAGTTGTCCTCTCAGAGCCTCACTTTCCCCCTCAGTAAAATGGGGGAAACTCTCCTGCCACCTCATAGAGTTGACCTTTGGGTCCCAGGTACCCAGCCTGGAGCCCGGCACACAGTAGGTGCCTGGTCCCTTGGTCATTGCCCTTAGCACAGGCAGTTACTGCCGCACCACCAGCCTCCCCAGTGTAGCCCAGGTCCCTGTCTGCTCCCTGGTATCTCTTACCTTGAGGACCTGGACTTCCCTTCTCCCCAGGACTTCCTGGGGCTCCAGGACAACTGGGCAGGAGGACGATTTTGCTGGCTTCCAGTTCCCTGGGTTCTGCGTGGAGACACAGGACCGGGTGGCACAGAGTAGTCGTAGGAGGAGTGGGCGTGCCTCTGTCTCCCAGACCCCCCCGAAGCTCTTTCCATCTCCCAGATTCCAGCCGTCAGAACACTTGCCTCCAAAGGCTTTCAAGGCCTCATACTGTTTGCATCTATTTGCAGAGCCCAATTATCAAATGCCTACCCTGCTCCCTGAGGCTAATGAGCCTGGGTGGGAGGACACTCAGTGAGGGAACGAGGGTGGGTGGGTGGGGAGGGCACCCTCCAACCCTACCTGGACAGCTGGGTTGGTCCTCAGTCCTCAGACAGGCAGGCTCCCTGAGCAAGAGCAGGAGAAGGGAGAGTGGTGTCCACAGAAGGCCCATCTTGCTGGTCCCCTCGAGAGAAAAATGCCAGTTTATAAGGGGGCCAGGCTGGTGGAAGAACAAAGGAAGACTTCCATCCATTGTGCCTGCTCAGAGACACCCCACCCAGGTTGGAGCCGGCAGGAGATGGGGGCACTTCCTCCCTCAGCCCCCGAGAGAATGGGCATTACCGCTGACCTGTTCAGCTGGGAGGGTGTCCAACTTCTGCTCCCAGCTGCCAGGGCTCCCCGGGCCATCTCTCCAGACCTTCACATTCATGCGCAATTTTCTGAGCCTTCCGCCTGGAGTGCCCTTCTCTGCACCTTTCCTGTGAGCTCCGCCTGTCCATGAAGGTCTGATCCTCCACTGGGAATATTTTCCCGACCCTGGCAGTATTCACGACCCCTGCTACCATTGGTTGGGCGCCTACTGCTCGCCACAAGTCACACTGCACGCAGTTTGTACGTCACCTCTGACCCTTACACAGTCCTGCTCATGGTCGTTGCTATTGGCCATGGGTTACAGGCTGGTACAAAGTAGGTGTTCAATAAATATTGGTTAAATAAAGGAATAAGCAAGGAGAAACTGAGGCCCAGAGACAGGATGTGACTGGTGCTCTCTCTGGCACTCGCATGCCCAGAGCCAGAGATTTTGCCCGAGCTCCACGCTGCCCACCAGGGAGAGGCACCCTTAGCAAAGTGACACCATGCCCACCCACAAGTCCCTTGGGAAGCCCCTGGCAAGGCCTAGGAAACGGCTGCTAATATAGGCCAATTGCAAGGGCAGCTCAGACAGGCAGGCCCGGAGGATAGGAGGCCAAGCAGGGAGGCAGTGGCCATGACCCAGACCTGAGGAGTGACGTCTGAGCAGGGGAGTTCCCTCAGGTGATAGGGGAGAAAAGAGGAGTCTCATTTATTTCTTCATTCATTCATTCACTCATCAAACCCTCCCTGAGGCCTCCTCTATGCCAGGCCCAGAGCTGGTGGTGGCAGGGTGGGCTGAGGTACAATGGGGCACGGCGGGGGGTGGAGGCCCAGTTCACCAGACAGGATGGAGCCATGAGATGGATGCCTCGAGGCCCTGCAGTTCCATCCTGGGGGGTCCGTCCCCCTCAAGCTCTCCCACAGGGGTGCCAAGACCTGTGGACAAGCCTGTTTCTCGTGGTGCTGTTTGTAATAATCAGTGTGGAACTGACCCAACTGGACATTGATAGGATGAAGGCAAATAAGTTACCACCATGTGGGCAAGTAGAGGGCAAATATGGTGAAGAATGAATGGGGCGAGGTCACAGAGCAACATGCACAGCACGGCCCCACTTTGTAATTTAAAAATGCCGAATGTCCATTCACAGGAAAAGGCCTGAAACATACTGTGAACCATAGTTACTTCTGGGGAGTGAGACCAGTGGGGCAGCGATTCTCACTCTTTATATAAACTTCTATATGGCGCTTTTGTTCCTTAGAGGCATCTACTACTTTTGAAAAGAGAAAACATCCAATGAAGAAATGTTCTTAACCAAGTGGAAAGCCAGCAGGAGGTGGGGGCACTTCCTCCCTCCGTCCCAGAGAGAATGGGCATTATCTCTGCCAGCTCTTAAGTGCTGGCTGGAGAAACCAGGGGAGGGTGATCCAGGCAGGAGAAACTGCGTGTGCGGAGGCTTGGATCAGGGACAGAGCAAGGCAGGCTGGGTAACAAGCGGTGGCTCCAAGTAGCTGGAAGGGTGGCTCAGGGGAGGCTGTCTGAGAGGATGGTGGCCATTGATGAAAGTGTGTGGGCATAGGGAGGTGGACTGTTTGGAGTTTTGTCGATGACGTCACAATAGGTGAGGCCAGGGAGGAGCCAGAGCTGCCCGTGGACTTCCAGTGGCAGCTGAAGAGCCCGCAGGGTGGCCAGGTCTGGAGAAGAGGTACCAGAGGCTCGGTGGCGGGTGCACAGCTGGAAGGGTGGACAGGTGCCCTGGCACAAAGTAGATGGAGCACATGTGCCTGCTCTGAACCCTCCCCACATCCGACTGCGATGGATATTAGTGTTACCCCACTTTACAGATGAGGAAACTGAGGCCCAGAGCCATTACATAACTTGCTCCAGTGGGAGATATTATTAGTCAGGGAAGACTTCTGGGCCCAGGCATGGGGCGGGGGTGGTGGGGAAGGATGGGAGGAGGGCATGGGCAGGGCTTCCCGGGAGGGCCTGAGTGCAGAAATGGCTGTGGACAGTTACAGGGGTGTCTCCACCTTGGCGCAGGGGCAGAGACATCACTTAAGGAGCTGAGAGAGCCTGGAGGTACCCCTGCAGGGGACTTCTAAAGTTCCGCTAACTCTGGGACCAGGAAAACCTAGATTCAAGCCCAGCCCTGCCCTGGCCCGCTAGGTGACCTTTAGCAAGTATACTTAGCTCTCTGCGTCTTTGTACATGGCACACCTGTACAGGGACACGGGAGGGGGCTAAACACATGTAAAGATGAGTGTATTTTAAAAGGGGACATCAACAGTCCAAGGCTGAATTCCCATTAAGGAGGGAACAGTGGCCTTATCCCTACCCCTCCCAATCCGCACACAGCCCAAGACACGGGACACAGAGCACAGTGCTGGAGAGAGTTCCTTTATTCGAGGGTGCTGCCCGAGCCAGGTCGATGGGAAGGGGCAGGCGCAGGCCCAATGCCAAGCAGGGGTCGTGCAGGGCTCCCATGGGGGCGACAGATAAGACAGAAGGTGGTTTGAGGATGCACTCAGCAGCAGGAACCAGGCCCAGGACAGGAGGGGACGCCAGGTACTGCACACTGAGACTACTTGGTGCCAAAGATTCTCCCACCCCCAGCGCCCACAAGAGGCCGAGAGGGCAGCCTCTTCATCCTCCTTCCCCTCAGTGTGGGGTCCAGGCCTGAGAGGTCAGATTCTGCGGAGGCCAGACAGAGAGGGTGCTCAGGGCGGCGGCCTCGCCTCAGCCAGGCTGAGGACCCCACCCCCAGTGGACAGGCGCAGCCGGAACAGCAAACACTTTAATGGAGGCTGCGGTGACCTGCCCCACAGCACGCACGGCACACGGGGACCTCCAAGCAGCCCCCCTTCTCAGAGGAAAACCAAACCGCACACACAGCTGAGGTCCTGCCCAAGGCCACAGAGCTGCAGGCCAAAGTCTCGCCTGGGCTACCACCTACTGGTTCTCCTCCCTGCTGGCAGCATGAGGGACAAAGACAAGTGGGCTCAGCTGAGCTCTTAGACGCCAGGCCCCGGCTGAGTCCTGGCCCCAGCCAACACCTGGCAGAAAGACTCCCACAAGAAGGGGGGTGGGTAGGTAGAAGGGGTGTGGCTCACACAGGGGACACTGTGGGGGAACCATTGTCTTTAGGGCTGCCCCACTGACAAGACAGTTCACTGTCACTTAAGGGGACAGGACCACAGGGGCAGGGCTGGAGTTCGGGAAGTGAGCCAGACTCTGCTGGCTGATCAAGTACTCACAGTGTCTGGTAGGTGCTGTCCTTGGCCTTGAGGAAGCGCAAGATGAAGAAGGCCACTGCCTGTAGGCTCAGCACCAGCACGATGCCTCCAATGAAGCTGGCCCCATCGAAGCCAGGGTTGTTGGCTTCAGGGACGTGGGGGCTCTCTGCAGGGTAGACAGAGGTCATAGCAGGCCACCCCAGTAACCTACAGAGGTCACCTGGAGGCCCCAGTCTTCACTATGGGAGTCGGAGAACAGCAGGCTCAAAAGGTCAATGGGATCCTGTGGGCAGTTGGGAGGTGCGGAGGTGCCTGGTGGGAGGGACAGTGCCCGGCAGGGCAGTGCCTTGGCTCCAACCCTGGCTCCGCTCCTGAATTGCTCTGTGGCTAGATTCCCCTCATACCCTCTCTTGACCCCCTGAGCACGTGGCTGATGGCCGCTGAGCCCCCTTCTCTTCCAGATGCCAGCTCTCACACTGGCCCAACAGGAGGAGGGTGGGCCCAGAACTCAGGTATCCAGACTGCTTTCAACCTTGGGTCTTGGGGTTCAAAGCCCAGATACAGATGCTATGGTCCCCTATCAGGACTGCTGAGGCCCTGGAGCTGCCCCTTACTTAGAAAGGGAAGGAGCTGGGGAAGAAGCAGAGGCCCGCACTCCGACCTATCCTAGGGAGCAGTTAAATGGAGACTAGACATTTTATGTCAGAGGAAGAAGCTGGGCTTGAAGGGCCAGGCCTGTCCAGAGTCACCTCACAGGACACAGCCAAACTCACACAGTGTCCCCTAACCCTTTCCCCTGCCCTGGCTTAGGGGCCCATGGTTGTCAGGCTGTGCCTGGGTGGCTCCCAGCTGTACCACGTTAGCCATCAACTCTCACCAAGGATTCGATTTCAGGCTCTGGGCCCAGTGCCCAGGACAGGGCAGGGCTGGTGGGAGATCATTCTGGGGCAGTGGACGGGGCCCCAGTGGACCTGGGTCCACCTCCCAGAGACTGTCATTTGTGTAAGGAGTTCTGAGAACATGAAGGACGAAGGGTGGTCCCAGCTGCGGCTCTGGCAGGCCTTTCCAGGGAAGAGGTGAAGAGAGAAGAGATGAGCTGCTCAAGACCAACCTGGGGCTTGAGCTGGAGGGAGCCAAACTATCAATAATTCAGCCTCTGAGATCACATTTCTGGCTTTAATTAACCAAGAGCCTCTTCGGCCATCCCTGCCAAGCCAGACCGTGAAGGGTGGTGGGGGCCGAGGGGTAGCTCCTTGCCTGTGTTGTGCCAGGAATCTGCTTTGTGACCCTCTCTGGACCAGTAGGTGGTCACAGCGGACATCTCATTGGCTGCCTCAGCCCCACTCCCTCAGCACCAAGCACAGGTCCTTGAGGGGGTCACCCTGAGCTCTCAGAAGTGGGGTTTGGAAGAGGGCATTGGAACTGATCTTTCCCTGATCTCCTTCCTTGCATCAGACACTGAACTAGGCTGCGTACAGCCTTTCATAAAACCCTCACAGTGACGCCGTGAGGTGGCAACAGACCCACTGTGCAGATGTGGAAACGGGCTCAGGGGGAGCAGTCACAGGTCCGAGGTCACAGAGCATGCTGGCGCCGAAGCCCAGCTCCCCCAGGTGGCACCTACCTGTTGTGATTGTCTTTGGTTCATAGGTGGGGTGGTGGTGGGCAGCTAAAAAGACAAGGAATCTGTAAGAAGCCAGCTCTCCCGCCCCTGGACTCCCATCTAGCCCCCAGCTGGGGCCAACAGCTGGGCTTCTGGCTCCGGTCCAGACCCATCCAACACACTTTCAAGCCTTTCTTCACACAGTTCCTTCTGCCAGTGCCCTCTCTCCATCGCAACCTTTAAAAGTCATCGCTGATGCCACCTCCTCCAGGAAGCCCTCCCTGTTCCCTTCTGAACTTCCAAAGTCTTCACTATGCTTTAAATTAGAGAAGCTGACTCCCTCCACCACCCATGCCAGTCATGTATCCTCCACCTGTACCCATTTACAGATGAGGAAACAGGCCGGAGAGGGGAAGAGTTCTGGGGGAGCTAAAGGCAGAACTGACATTGAACCCAGGTGTTTGCAAGCATGGTCCTCTCCCCGAGAGAGAGAGAGAGAGAGACGGATTCCTCCTGGAGGGCAGGCTTTGGCTGGGGTGGTACCTCAGTCCTGTCTCCCCAACTTGGATTAGGCCAGTGGGAGCTCCCTTACCCGGACAAGACTCTGAATGGTTGTAGACAGAGCAACCTTCCTTGACCACCTCAGCTTGGTCCACACAGTGTCCTAGTGGGAGAAGGTGAAAGGGAGAGGCTTGGAGAGAGGGGCCAAGGCCCTGGGGTTCAGAACCAAGGCACTCGACCCGGAGAGGGCCACATACCTGGTTCCTCTGGACGACATTGCTCCCACACGCAGCTGGAGAGGTTGTGTGCTCTGTCCCCTTCCACACAATGCTCACAGAGCTTCAGCTCTTTACAGGCCCCTCGGACAGCCGGCCAGACGTTCATTCGGAGCAGGGCTCCCCGCCCAAAGCCTCGAGCTCCTTTACCTGGTAGAGGGGTGGAAGCAAGCCCTTGAATAGGAACTGAAGCCCCCATCCCCACTGCGGTGGCTCTCACCCTCTGCACACACACACACTCACCTGGATCCCCCAATCCCCGCTACACGCCTGGAGTTTCCACAGACACAATTAACACACACCTAGGGCCTCCCTGATATTCGCCCAGAGTCCTTTCCCTTTGCGTATACCTGGGGTTCCCAGATACATTGGAAGCTGCCGCCCCATACACACCTGAAGCTCCTTACTATACACACAGCCAGAGCCGCCTTTACCCACCCCTGGAACCCAGCATAATATGGAAAGTCTCCTTCTGCTCCCCCACTACCCCTCCCAGCCGCCCGCTCCTGGACAGGCGCCTGGGTGAAGGGCACGCTCCGCCTGCCCCGGCTCCTAACCAGACCCTGGCCAGCATTACCAGCCACAACGAGCTGGGCACACAGGAGGAGGCAGCAACAGCCGCCACAGAGCGCAGCCCGTAAGGCTCGGGGTCCCGGCAAGGCCATGGGGGCGGGGGCGGGGACTGGGGGTCAGCGGAGAGCTGGTGTCCCGCGTCCCTTCTGGACCCGGCTCCTCCAGGGTGTGGGAAAGAGACTGGACCGAAAGGGGCGGGCGAGGTGGGCGGGACCGTGACGTACAAGAATGGGCGGGGCCTGGTGATGGTGGGGACCAGATAGGGCGTGGTTGGTGGGCGCGGTCAGGTGGGGCCGGGTCGGGTAGTCTGGGGCGGGGCTATAACAAAAGGAGGCAGAGTCCAGGACTAGTAGCTACCTGGTCCCTGGGGACTCCCAGCAGCAGTTTCAAGGAACCTGTTGAGTAACAAGTTATCCCTACCTCACCGATGAGAAAACCGAAGCTCAGAAAAGATGAATGACTAGTTAGAGGCCACAGAGTTAATGGCAAAATCTGGATTTGAAGCAAGGTCACTTTCCTGCCCCCCAGGGCTCGACAGAGGCGGGGCCTAGTCAAGTGCCCCCCTCCAGCCAGGCCTCAGGACCGCTGACCAGCTTCAGCTGGGCCCTAGGTTCTGGCCGCCCACCTGGCTTCAATCTTTGCACTCTCCTCTCTTCTGTCCTTCAGCCCACCATGTCTGCCTCCAACCCACAACATCTTCTGATCAAGTCACCAGTCTCATTGTTACTAGGGCAACTGAAACTTTTCACAGCTTTCCCTCCCGCCTCAGCAACCGCCTGAAGGCCACCTCTTCTGTCCTTCTCCCACTACAGCCACTTCTCAGGGTCCTGAGAGGGTGCCTCCTCTTCCTCTTCCTCTTCCTCTTCCTCTTCCCCTCCATTCCTCCCCGCTCCTCCTCTCCTTTTCCTCCTTCCCCATCTTCATCACTAATGGCCCAGTTCAGTCCTGAGCCCTATTCCACCTCTTCTGGGGTCAGCTCTGTCATCCCTCTGCCTGCAGTTCCCATCTGAAAGCCAACAAGTATCTCTCCATCTCCAGTGTGCTGCTCCCTCCCTGGCTGCCACATCTGTAACTAATAATACGTAGCCAACAACCATTGGCCCCTTAGGATAATCACAATGTACGTTCTACTAAGAGCTTCTAGTTGCAGCTTCTCATGGAATGTCCACACTACTCCCTAGGTATGGGTTTTGTTATCCCCAAATTGCAGGTTTCAGGAATAACTTCGTGCCCTGACTTGTGTGGCTCAGTGGGTTGAGCGTCATCCCGCAAACCAAGAGGTCTCCGGTTCAGTCTTCAGTCAGGGCACATGCCTGGATTGTAGGCCAAATCCCCATCTGGGGGCATGTGAGAGGCAGCCAATCAATGTTTCTCTAGCACACTGATGTTTCTCTCCCTTTCTCCCTCCCTCCCCCTCTCTCCAAAAATAAATAAATAAAATCTTTCAAAAAAAGTAGAAGAAACATCACCTGCTTAGGAGCAGACAATTACAACAGAGAGGGGGAAGGATGTAGCCCAGGATCCAATGAGGCCAGAGGCTAATCTCCCCTCTGCTATTCCTCCTTTGGACCTGTCTGAATCCTGGGCACCTCCACCTGAGTGTGCCTCGGGCCCTCAAACTGCCTGGTCCCTCTTCCCCATCCAGGAAGGCCCCCTTCATCCTCTGAATCACCCAATTGGAAACCGGGGTCTCATCCTCACCTCCTCTCTTTGTCTCCCAAATTAAAATCCTGCAGTTTCTGCTTATATATATCTCCTTGGGCCCTGCTCCCTTGTCTTGACTTTGCTGGCCTCGCTGCCTCCTCAGTCTCCAGGCCCCTCCCCACAGTGCAGGGCTCTGCTGAACCACATTAATAACGGATGGGTAGGGCCCCAGAAGCCTCTGACTTCTGGCTCTACAAGTCTCTTCAGCATGTTTTGGACTCACCCCAACACCCTCCTACCTTCTGAGAAGATCTAACAGCCTCTTCCCCAACACAGTTTGCCTTGTATACCTCCTTGCCTTTATCCTATAGCTGTTCTGTCACCTGGAGGGTCCTCTTTCTGTTACCAGACAGAAGCCTGGCCCTGAGCAGGTCTGCTTAGGGTCAACTGTAGTGTACAGGTTCTTGACTTGGGTAGGAAAGATTTCACAACATGAGTCCAGGTGACTATGAAGATGCATTTATTAGAGCTGGGGACAGCGAAACAAGGAAGGGCTTAGCATAGAGGGAGCAACAGGAGAGCCTGGGCTGGGCTGCCTTGGCTCACTGGGAGGTCAGAGCAAAGGGGACCTTGGAGACAGGCACAGGGGATCAGCCTGGGACAAGGGGCCCGGTGCCCATCGCCTTAGAGTTTAGGAGACATGTGCCTATGGGGGAAGAAGGGAAAGTGAATGGCGCAGGCTGCTCCACAGAGGGAGCGCAGGCCCGCTGGGTATTTTGTCCTGAGGCTTTTCTCTCTTTCTTGCAGGCAGAAGTCTTAGAAGAGGTCTCAGGGAAGGCTTTCGGTTGAATAGTCATCCGTTTTCCAGGAGCGCCCTTTGAGGGTTGTGGTATCCGCTGATTGGTCAGTGGCAGGGCAGGGGGTGTTCAGTCATTGCAGTTGGTTCTGGCGTCGCCCACCTGGTTTTGCTGCTTTTCTGGGCCTGTAACTGAAACACAGCTTAGGCCTGGATATTATCTCCAGGGAGGAAAGGCCAGGGAAGGAGAGGTTACCCTGGGGGCCAGGCCCTTGTTTTCCCAGTTTTGCCCCCTGCCAGGCACTGGGGCCTTCCGCCTTGGTGACCATCTGACCCTGGCTGCAAGTTGTTCAACCATCGTGTTCAGCTCTCTGCCTCAGTTTCCCTGTCCACTAGCCAAGGACTTTTCCTAGCTTCTCATTTCTCCCGACTCCATCTGTCCAGCAGACTAATCCTTCGTGACACCACACTAAAGGGCCACCTCCTGCAGGAAGCCCTCTGTCACTCTCAGAGCAAGGCTGAGCTGCCGCGGCACTTGTCCCAGCTGGTGGATCTGAAGCCATCTGCCTTCCCACGGCAGAGCCCTCCCCTCCTCACCATCTCTCGTCTGGGTGACTGCAGGGTTCCTGGTCACGCTCCTGCTTCTGCTCCCACTTCGGTCTGCTTCCCATTTGGCAGTCAGAGCAAACCTTTGAAAATGGAAGTCAAGTCATAGGACTCCCCTGCTTAAGCCCCCCAGTGGCTCCCATCTCATTGCTTTCCATGACTTACACGATCTTGCCCCCGCCGACCTCTCTGAGCTCCATTCCTGCCCCTTTGGCTCCAGTCTCCTCTCTGCTCCTTAAACACATCGGCTCTGCCTCCTCAGAGACTGTGCACTTCCTGCGCCCCTTCCTTGACACTCTCCTATTCTCTCTTCGAATGACTGACCCCATGGCCTCCCTCCTTAAAAGGGGTCTCCTGGCTATTCTGCATCATGATACCTTCCTTTTCCTTTAGAACATGTATCAGATTACTCTTGTTTCCTAGGCTGTACATTCCAGGAAGGCAGAAGCAATGTTTGTCTTCTTCTACAGTTAACTCGCTGCACACACGGGGCTAAGTAGGTGTTTATTAAATGACCATACCTGTCATAACTGTTTGTGCACGTTTGCCTGTCTCACTGGTTTGTGAGACCCTCAAGGGCTCCTGCTCAATAATAAATTAAACGTCTATATTTTTTTTTTGTGAAAAGGAAACAAAATGTTTATTTAATGCTATTCAGGCCTAACGCCACCACTAAAATAGCTAAGTCTTTTAGGATATACACCTACACCCACACAGCGCTCCCTTCTCCCACTGTCCCAACTCTGGTTCCGTAAATCAGGAAAAGAGCACATGTCTGTGTTGCAGGCCGCTGGCACCGTCAGCTGTGTCACCGTGCAGGCAGGATCTCTAGTTAATCCAAAGTACTGTGGTACCTTCTCATGGTCCACTGGCAAGAGTCCTTTGTACCCAGTTCCAGTCAAAGTCTCTCTTGCTTTTCAGGCCCCTCGGCCAAAGGGGGCATCCCAAAGCTGCAGGGTTCGCACTCCACCAAAATCATGTGACTTTCTTCTTCACCTGGCTGCAGGGATCTCCATTCTGGCAAAGCTGCGTGGTTTTCCCTTTCACCTGGGCAGCTATCCCCTCATGTCCCGGAGCCCATCTTTTCCAAGCTCCTACACAGGCCTCTAAACGTCTATTTTTTTATTATCCATATCTCCCCATTCGAATGGAAGCTCCACGAAAACGGATTTTTGTTGATTGCTGTATTCTCTGTGCCTAGAACAATACCTGGAAAATAGCAGCTGCTCAATAAATATTTACGGAATGCTGCAATGCAGGAATGCGGCCAGATTCTCTCTCTGTCCATAGCACCGCTCAGAGCCCAGCCCAGGAGAACTCAGTGTGTATGAGTGGAATGAGTGATGGGTGTGCACTGATGGTGCCCGGATTCCTGGGGCTTGGCCAAGGAGTTTGTGTGGATCTTATCTGTGTCTCACACACACAAACCTCTCCTGAGAGCCTACCCAGGGTGTCCAACCTTTTGGCATCTCTGGGCCACACTGGAAGAATTGTCTCTGGGCCACAACATTAAACACATTGTGACACGATCACACAAAAAAAATCTCATCATGTTCTAAGTAAATTTATGATTTTGTGTTGGGCCACATTCACAGCCGTCCGGGCAGCCCACAGTCTGCCTGTTGGACGCCCCTGGCCCTGGATCCACAGGAAGGAACTTACCTGGAAGCGACTGCTCACAGCCATCTGGTGGTCACCTAGGCAAGTGCAGGCATTGTCAGTGCTGGGGTGATGGTGACTTCTACGCTAGAGTGGGAAGGCACACTGGGCTTGGTTACAAATGGCCCTGGCTTCAGATCCCAATTCTGTCACTTACTGTGCGATTTGGGGCAACACTTTCTGCTTCTCTGGGCTTCACCGATGAAGTTAGAATGCAGGGCTGCTGTAAGCACTGGGTTCTGGTTTGGCACATATCGGTGGGACTGGGGAGGGTGTTGATGGCGGGGAGAAGCAAGGAGGCGGGGCAGAGGGCATGAGTTGGAGCGAGAAGGAAGGGCTGCCCCTTCCTCTAGAAAGCAAATCTTTGGGAAGGGGAGGCCTGGGTGGCAGTGAGGGCCTCGGCTGCCCTGCTGGCATGGGGTGGTTTGGGGGCGTGAGAGTGCGTGTGTGAAAATCCACAGGCTCGCTGAGTCTCTTGGATCTCAGGGTTTCTTGGGGTTAGAAATATCACCGCACTCTTTTCCTCCCTGACTGCCTGAGGATTGACCTCCACCTCGAACGACAGAGTCACTGTCTAGATCGGGAAGTTCTAGAAACATGGTCTTCAATGTCCTTCCCCCTGGGAAGGCAGCAGTACCTGAGACAGAAATTTGGGACAAACTAGCCAAAATGTACAAGACCGCACCAGATGTCATCCTTATATTTAGAGTCAGAACGCATTTTGGTGGTGGCAAAAAAAAAAAAAAAAAATGGCCTTGACATAATTTGCGATTCCTTCACTTATGTAAAGAAAAATGAACCCAAACACAAGCTTGCAACCATGGCCTCGAGAAAACGGCGACTGGAATGCACGCACAGAAAGAAGAGGGTCGGGGCTGCAGGAAAGGCTGATGTTGGTGCAAAAAGAAGTGAAGATGCTGCAATGACTTCATCTGTGCTAATTGTGCAGGGTGTTCGGGAGATAATTAGTAAACTATGAAAACATTTCAAAAACGTTCACTGCTGCTCGGAACAGGGGAAGGAAGTCTACTACAGGCACGTTTCGTGCCAGCCTCCCGGCAGCTCTCGCCCCTCGGAGACCAGCTGGACAGCCGCTGGGACCCAGCTCTGACGGGGAGAAAGTGGTTTCCTAGGTCCTGGTGCACCGATGCCCCTGTGTTCTCTCTCTTTGACACTGCCCCGCCTTCCTTGACACCATGGGTATTACTACTCCCTGTTTTCCTTCTCTTTCTGTAAATGTTGCCTCTTTATTTTATTTTATAAGATTTATTTATCTTTAGAGAGGAAGGGAATGAGAGAGGGAGAGAAATATCAATGTATGGTTGCCTCTCATGCGTCCCCTGCTGGGAACTGGCCTGCAACCCAGGCATGTGCCCTGACTGGGAATCAAACTGCGATCCTCTGATTTGTAGGCCTGTGCTCAATCCACCAAGCCACACCAGCCAGGGCAGATGTTGCCTTTTTAGTTTAATTATCCAGTCAACCAATATTTGTCGAACATCTTCTACATGCCAGGTCCTGTGGGAGAGTAATAATCTAGGATAGAGCTCCAGGAAGCCTGTTTCGGAAGAAGTGACTTGGGTGCAGAGACCCTAATGAAGTGAAGGGTTCTGTTGTAGACAGAACTGTATCACCAGGAACACTGTCACCCACAGTCTGTGCCCTTAATGCTGGAGTCTCCTGAGGCCCTGCACTCTCTGCCCCCTCCCCTAAGCGATGCCAGCTTCCTGTGTACCTCAGCCTCCTGGTGTCCTCCTTCTGCCAGACACACCATCGGGAGCCCACACGGCCAGTGCTGACGACATGCCAGGCCCCTTGCAACAGTCCTATAGGCAGATACTAACATTATCCCTTTCTTATTGTTGAGAAAACAGGCACAGAGGGTCTAGAAACCCACCCAAAGTCACACCGCTAGGAAACGGAGGAATTGGGGTTTGAGTCCAGTCCACACTCCTGGACCGCCTCCACCTGCTACGCACCCTAAACTCACTGTATCCAACCTAAAGTGCTTTATCTTCCTTAGCCTGGTCCTCTCCTCTTCCCCTGTACCCTGCCACTAGCCGGTCACCTCCTTCCTCCTTCCCCACCCTGACTGTGGGAACTGCAGTGGTGCTGTGTTCAGGGAGAAGTCAGGTGGGGCCTGGAGACCTGGGTCCCTCCGGTTTCCTAACCTAATCCCTGCCCCCTTCCCCCTTCCCCCATTCCACAAGGCCTTGGAGATGCCAAAGAGGATCAAAGCTGGAGACAGGGAGGAAGGGCAGCCCGCTACTCTCCCCCAGGACTGGCCACATCTGACCCATCTGGAGAAATCTGGGGCTAAGGACAGACAGGGTTGGGGAGATGGAGCTCCGTCTCCATGCCCTACCTGCCAGATTGCCTGCGATGGGAAGTTGAGAGGGGCCTGCCCTGGGGTTGAGCTGCCAGGTTTTCTGCTTCCAAGCTCTTCCTGGCTTCCCTCTCCAGCTGCTTCGGGGAAGTGACCCCCAGATCCACGCACACTGCTGGCTTTCCAGATCCTTGAATAAATAATTCAGGTTTTGAAATCTGGCCAGGCTCCACCTCCGCGCGCTGTGAGGGTGCCATCAGGCTGCCATCAGTGAGGTCACCCAACTGCTTATCCCAGCCTCCGCATCATAAAGACCTGCTCTGGCAGCAACTACCTGCCTGGTCACCGTCAGTCCACACCCTCTACCCTGTCCCCCCTCACACTGGGGTCCTCTCCCCACAGCCACCTGGTATCTCCATTCAGGATCCCACAGTCCTCGTCACTTAGGTAGCTTTGTCACCTCAGTACCTCAGCACTTTGTGGCAGGGTTATGGTGACCTGACATCCCATCACCTGCACAGTCCATCTTCCCTTGCCACTATCTCTGCCAGCCTGGGATCTCTGAATCCCATCATGCCACAGAGTCGTTCTCACACTGGTATGGTTGCCCTGGGGGCTCCTCTCTCTACGTCAGCGTCCCTCAGCCACCATCTCCCAAGATCCTGTCACCATGCTCATACCGTCACTGCCACCCACCTCCCTGCTCCCTTGTGTCCCTGTCACCATCAACTCAGAGCTCTGTCATCTTCACGAGGGACACCCATTCAGCCCCATCAGTCGGTCTCTATCACCTGAATTTCATCAGCCTGTCTTTACCACTCTAGGGTCCCACCACCCCACAGCTTATCCGGGTCCTCTGTTCGCTGCCCCCCCAACATCCCCCACAGCCTCTCTGAGACTTTTCCAAGACTCGCCCACCTGTGCCCCTAAAATCCCCCGGCCCGCAGAGGGCGCCGCCTCAAGGACAGCGCAGGCCGAGTCGGAAGGGGCGGGGCCGCGGCCACGGTCGCTTTTTATGAATGGGGGAGCAGGCGGTGCGAGGCCTTATTACTATTCCGCGCAACACGCTCTGCGCCCCAATGCGACGCGCCCATTGGTTAGCCGAGGCGCTGACGTCACCAAACCGGGGGTCGGGGGCGGGGCGAGGCGGGGTGACTCACGCCGCTTTTCCCGTGGCCGCGGGGGCTTGTCGGGGTCCGCTCACACCCTGCGCTGCCCAGACCTGAGTGGAACCTTCTCGCGCGGCCTGGCCGCGCCCAGTCCTGAGAGGTGAGTAGTGGTCCCCGCCACGGTCACCATGCGTCCGGGAGGTCATGCAGGTTCCTGGGGAGCTGGGCCGGAGGTCAGGCTCCCAGTGACGGGCCAGGGTCGGAGGTCAAAACCTGGAACCCAGATTCTGGACTAGCAGGTGGGACCCAGTGTGCCAGTACAGAGCTCCATCAGCCGGGCGACCCGGCGCGGGGTGAGCATTCCTACAGGAACCCGAGGCCCTGGAGGGACTGATGGTTATCTGAGGTTGGGCCAGCAGGAGACGGCTGGGACAGGGACCTGGGCGTCGGAGAAGGAGGAGGTGTCTTATTTAAGGGGTCCAGGCATCCAGGCAGGAGGGGTCTGACTCAGGTATCCAGGCTTCCAGCAGGGGATATGTGTTCCAAAGATCCAGAGGTGTAGCCAGAAAGAGGAGTCTGGCTGGGCAGAAGTCTGGGCGAGTATGTGTTGCGGGGACCGGGCGCTGAATATCAAGGTGTTGTTATGCCAGGAGCGCAGGGTGGGCGCGGCGGGAGCTTCACCTGCACTCTCTGGGGGTGGAGTCTGGGGCTGGCATTTCTGAGAATCCTGAAGGGTCTGGCGAGCCTCAGAAATTGAGCATCATCCTTCCTGATAGGCAGGGAGCAGAGCTGCCCTCAGCCTTAAGGTGTGTTTCCCTTTCCCAGCCCTGGCCTTTCCTGGCATCTCCTGGATCTTACTTATTAGCCCCATCTGGTTCTCTTCTGGTCACACACGTGGGAGGAAGAGGCCTGCAGGGCCCAGGGAGTTGGAAGGGAGATGTAGAGACCTAGGACAGGGATCCCCTGGGGGCATGGGAGAGGACAAAGGTATCTGGGAAGGAGCCTGGGGGACAAGACAGTAGGACCCCGCTAGCTATACTGAGAGACTCCCACCAAGTATCCAGATATGCACTTCAGCCCTTGCAGACCCCTCTACCCAGCACCTAACCCTGCCAGCTTCTCACAGGGCCTTTCTCCTACAGGTACAATGCTGTGGGGTGCAGGCATCCCCCTGGCCTGGCTCTCCACTGGACCAGACAACATGAATATGAGCAGCATGGGCTCAGCAGAGGGTCCCACAGGCCCAGCTGCATTGCTGCCCTCACCCAGGGCTTGGGATGTGGTGCTATGCATCTCAGGCACCCTGGTGTCCTGTGAGAACGCGCTGGTGGTTGCTATCATTGTGGGCACTCCTGCCTTCCGTGCCCCCATGTTTCTGCTTGTGGGCAGCCTGGCCGTCGCAGACCTGCTGGCAGGCCTGGGCCTGGTCCTGCACTTTGCTGCTGTCTTCTGCATTGGCTCGGTAGAGATGAGCCTGGTGCTGGTTGGTGTCCTGGCAATGGCCTTTACTGCCAGTATTGGCAGCCTACTGGCCATCACTGTAGATCGATACCTTTCTCTGTACAATGCCCTTACCTACTACTCAGAGACAACGGTGACGAGGACCTATGTGATGCTGGCCCTGGTGTGGGGGGGTGCACTGGGCCTGGGGCTGCTGCCTGTGCTGGCTTGGAACTGCTTGGACACCCGGGTCACATGCGGTGTGGTGTATCCACTCTCCAAGAACCATCTGGTGGTCCTGGCTGTTGCCTTCTTCATGGTGTTTGGCATCATGCTGCAACTCTATGCCCAGATCTGCCGCATCGTCTGCCGCCATGCCCAGCAGATTGCTCTCCAGCGGCACCTCCTGCCTGCCTCCCACTACGTGGCCACCCGAAAGGGCATTGCCACACTGGCTGTGGTGCTTGGCGCCTTTGCTGCCTGCTGGCTGCCCTTCACCGTCTACTGCCTGCTGGGTGATGCCCACTCCCCATCCCTCTACACCTATCTCACCCTGCTCCCTGCCACCTACAACTCCATGATCAACCCCATCATCTACGCCTTCCGCAACCAGGATGTGCAGAAAGTGCTGTGGGCCATCTGCTGCTGTTGTTCCTCTTCCAAGATCCCCTTCCGGTCACGTTCTCCCAGTGATGTCTAGTCGCAAACTGGTGAACCTTCAACCCTGATCACTACAGAATTCCAGAATGTTAGGTCCTCCAGGACTACATTCCAACCTCCCCAGCTCCACACCCCAGAGACCCAGCTGGTTCTGGAGTTCTAGGACATTGGGTGTTTCACACGATTCTGTTCAGATCCCTGCAGGGCCCAGCTGGCTCCATGATTCTAGAATGTTCAGATGATCAGCGTTCCACTCAGAAATGTCCCACTGCCCAGCTGGCTTGGAGTTTCAGAATGCTGCTGGGTGTTTTCCTGTGCCATTCAAGTTCCTGGGCTTCTCCCTCCCTTGACCTTGACCATGTCACTTTTTAGTTTCTGAGCTAGAGTCAGAGATGTTAGCCACTCAGTTGCCTAGATAGGAGAAAGAGAAAAAGATTTATCTATATATATATATGTGCACATACAGAGAAAGTATCTATTTATTATTTATTTATGAATTTATTTATGGGCATAAAGGGAAAAAAGAGACCAACACCTTGAAATCCAGGCCATACCAGGGTACCCCCAGTCCCCACACCCCCATTTCTGACCTCAGTTCCTAGAGGGGGTAAAGGGAGAAAGAGAAATCACGTATTTTGTTAATTTGGCTTATTTTTTATTGAGAGATCATAGAAACCAGAGCCTTCTTCCCAGACATGCCCCTCTGGGGTTTGTGAGGGGAACACACCAGCCTCTGGTTTTTTATTTTTTTAAGAAGCCATCGCACCTGAGCAACCGAGAATTCCTCTGCGCTAGGGGCCTGCTGCCCTCTGGTGGTAGTTTGGGGAAAACCAACCTGGCCAAGCAGCCAGGACCAAACATGTCAACCCCAACTCCACTCCAGCCTGGTGTCCAGCGCCACAACCATTGCCTGGGAACCAGGCCTCACCCTGAGGTGCCCTAGAGGAGGCAGGATGCGAGCCAACACCTGACCCCTCTGCCGATCTGGGTATAGCCCCCAGTGCATTCCCTATTCCTGTATCTGACCCAACCCTGAATAAAAAATGATTTTGTAATGAATGTTTCTTTCTGTGTGTGTGAAGGGAGTGGAGTGGGGCCTGACGTGGGAAAGCATGGAATAGGGAGACTAATCCACACCGGTGCCTGTTGGGGACATGGGAAGCTGGAGATCCAGAGTGGACTGTGGCTGGCAGGTGACACAAGTAACTGCAGGATGGCAATCTGATGGGCCCCACTGCTCAGATGAGGGCACTGCCAGATAAGGACCCTCATCTGCCCCTGGGACACAGGAACCAGGATGCTGGACCCTTCTTGAGGTTGCCCACATTCTGCCCACATCAGCTTTAGTTTGGGGCTTTGTCATGAAATATGTACTCAAAGCATGTCAATTTCCTGAACAACAGCTCGTTCTAATCGCGGGTATGTACCATGTGCTAGGCCCTGTGCTAAGTTACAGGGTGTGTTACCTCATTTATGCCTCGAAAGCCTCCCAGGGCACAGGCAGTATCTTCTCCATTTTACAGGTTAGACAAAGGAGGCTGAGGGAGTGTTGGTGACTAGCCCAAGGAAACATGTTTCCAGAACCTGAGCTCTGGCCACTGGCCACTGGCCTCTCATCTCCTTTCCTCCCAAGCCTGGGGCCTAGGACATTCTGGACTCTGCTTTGTGTTGGGGTTCTTTCTCAGAGCCACCACCCACGTTTGGGAGGTGGTTGGATGGGGTCTAATCAATTTGAAGCTGGAGAGCTTAGTGGAGTGACGGTAAATATATACATTTGAAGACGTAAGTGTGCAGGACCCTAAGTTAGGGGTTTTGGAATCAGAAATGATGTGTTCAAAGGATAAAAAAGAAAGAAAAGAGCCCTGCATAGTATAGCTCAGTGGATTGAGTGTGGGCCTGCAAACCAGAGGGCTGTTGGTTCAATTCCCAGTCAGGGCACATGCCTGGGTTGGAGGTGCCCAAGAGGCAACCACACATTGATGTTTCTCTCCCTCTCCTTCCTTTTCTCTTGCTCTTTACAAATAAATAAATAAAATATTTAAAGCCCTGGATGTGAGCTGCAAACCAAAGGGTCACCAGTTTGATTCCCAGTCAGGGCACATGCCTGGGTTGCAGGCCAGGTCCCCAGTGTGGGCCACGTTGAGAGGCAACCACACATTGATGTTTCTCTCCCTCTCTTTCTTCCTCCTTTTCCCTCTCTCTAAAAATAAATAAATAAAGTCTTTTAAAAAATCTATTTAAAAAGACAAAAGAAAAGAAACAATGTGTTCACCAGGCAAGGGCAAGGGCAGGTTTGGGGTGTGGCTGAAGAGGAAGAGTTGGTGGAGGTGGAGAGCAGGCCTGGCCAAGCTACACAGGGCTCCAGTCCAGGCACAAAGTGGGGAGGCCCCACCAGAGCAGAACCAGCCTTATCTTTTCTCCCCACCTTCCTGGAAGGTCCCTAGGAAAAGACTCCCACTCATCAAGCTTTGGGACAAACATTTCACACAATATCACAGGACCCATTGGGTGGTACTGTTGTTCTCCCCATTTTACAGAAGAGCAAGTTGAGGCTCTGAGTAATGGGTGTTCATTCATATACTGCTATTCTTGTGGACAGTGTAAATTCTAGCTGGGGAAAATAGTTATAAAGAACTAAATTTAAAAATATGGTACTATCAGAGAGTGACAAGTCCTCTGAGAAAAACGAAGCAGGGAAGGGACACGGCAGTATGTGTAATCTTTAAATGAGGGCGCCCAGAAAGACCTTACTGAAGCTGACATTCGATTTGCCTAAAGTTACACAGCTCATAAGAAGTTGAGCTGGGATTTGAACTCAGGTCCATTTGAGTCCAAATCTGTTCCTTTCCTGGGTGAGGGAGTGGGTTTCAGGAGCAGCTCAGAAATAGCACATAAGAAAAAAACAGTGCGAGGAGCCCTGTCTCTGGGCTGGGGAAGAGTTGGGGGTCTCCAGGACATCCCTAGACCTTTGAGAAGAGTAGTGGAGGGGAGGGCCTCCCCATGCTCCCCAGGAGACCCCGCCAAGACCAGAAGGAGAGGGACCAGTGCCTAACCTACCCTGGGTGGGCTCTGCCCTTGGCTTCCGAATTCTAGCTTCTGGCTCGAGGACTCAGCAGGGCTTAAGGCTGGCCAGCCTCCTATCTTGGGGTAGGGCTGTGGAGGGCCCCAAGCTGTGAATCCCCTGCTGTCTGTCTGGGTGTAGTTGTGTAGATACAAGGTATTTCTGGGGGCTGCATCTGGAGTCTCTGCCTGGGATTCCCCACCTCACCCTGAGGGGTGTCTGAGTCTACCTGGGGGTTGAATCTTGTGTGCCCACGTGATGGCTTCTCCCTCCTCCCAGGTTCTTCAGCTACATCTCTGGATCTCCTGGTATACCACCAGGAAGGCTCCTTGGCTAAGCTCTCAGGTAGCTGTGGAGATGTGGTTTCTACAACACACTGTGCTACACTTCCCTTGAGTAAACATTTATAGAGGAGCCTTGCCTTCTTTGTGAGAATGGGGGCCCCTGAGGGCAAGGCTGTGCATCCTCCCTCCAGCATAGGGTCCCCAAGAGGAGGGCCATGTCTGCACCCTTAAACTGAAGGCTTCTATGTCTCTTTCAGCCTTAGACTCATCTGGTGCCCAGCCGGGGTGGGGCTGCTCAGGACAACATGCTCGTGTGTGTGTGTGTGTGTGTGTGTGTGTGTGTGTGCACGAGGATGCACACTTTGGGGGTGAGTAGCTAAGACCTCCAGCCTCCGCCTCTGCCAGGGAGCCCGCATGCGCAGCTGGGCTCCCTGGACTGGGGGAGGCAAAGGCTGTGGCCCAGAGCCCTGCCTTCCTGCTGGAGTAGGCCCTGGGGTGGAGGTGGGGACCATACCTCCTCCCCTTCTTCCCAGGTCCTGTGTGGGGAAGGGGGGCAGCCCCCGAGTGCGGAGCCCCTGCTGGGGCCATGACCGCCTCTCCCTGCATTAAGTGAGGAGACAGAAGCTATTAATATAAGATGAGTTCACGGGCTCACAGCTTCCACAGGCTGGAAAACAGGCTCTCAGGGCCGGGTGCTGCGGCAAGTCTCGTCTGTCAGATTCTCTCCTGAAGCCTGCAGCCCTCCAGCTCCGCATCCCCCTGCTCCCTACATGCTGAGACCTGTGCATACACAGGCACATGCACACAGGCACGTACACACAGACACACACAGGCAACACACACCGGCATACACATGGGGTCCAGGCCCCTGGCTGTTCAGAGAACACACACATGCATACTTACCCAAATGTGCATGTATAACCATATGTATCTGCACACTGGTACAACATTTGTGCACACTGATATATCACTGCAAACATGTATACAGACCATGTGTCAACTCCATGTGCACATGGTTGCTTTCAGGAAAACACACTTGCCCGTGTACATGTGTATACACAGACTTAGCTTTGTATACATGTGTGCACATGGGTTCAGACATGCTCACATACCCAGACCCATTTGCACACCATTGCTTATATACAGATACGAAACTGCACCTATGTATACAGATGGTATCCATAGTCATGTACACAAATTTGCATACAGGACATTTAATGACTTGAAGGCCTGTACATAACCTTTTGTACAGTGTACACAGTTGCACAGGCTTCCCACTGCTGGCAACACTCAACAATCATGAATTCACAGGCGGACCCTTGGTTTCTAGCACCACTGAGCTGGTTCAGCCTCCACTCCCTGTCTCATCCCCTCCCCCAGCATCATGACAGGCAGCTCCAGCTCCTGCCAACCCCAATGCCTGCCTTCTGGCTTCCTGTCCCCCAGGGGTCCCCAGATCCCTGATTAACCCCTTCGCTAATTGGCCACCAGCCCCTTGACTTTGCTGCAGGCCTTCTCAGGAGCTGGGAGCGAGAAGCTGCAAATTGGCCAAGCAGGATGGGTCTGGGGAATAGAGTGCAGGGGCAGGGTGGGGGTGCTGCAAGCCCAGTGCCTGGCTGTAGCCAGGTGGGGCACCCCCTACAACAGCTGGGGAAACACTGACGTATATTCTTGGGAGGTCACCTGTACACAGTCCCAAGAAGCCATCCCTTCACGCACATCTAAACACACATAAGTTGTGTGCATGGACATGCCCCACCCCCTTCTTCACACAAATGAACGTGAACGTGTTTGCACATACCCCAGTACACTCATGAACAAACCCAGTAGGCATGCATGCAAATCTTACATGTACATAAATGTACCTGGCCAGATATGCCAAGAACATTCATACATATGTATCCAAACACTTCACCTAACTGCGCAAATGCAGTCACATATAGAAGCTTGCAAACACATCCTTACATGTAACACATGCCTATGAATGTGCTCCTTATT